ATCAGCGTAAGGGCCGTTAGAGGCAGGGGTTGAATATACTGGACTTAATGAAGGTGTGTGTGTCACAACACCGGAGATCGAGAGGTTTGTAGCTGAATCGATCAATTTGTGTTTGCCAGTATCAACCAGTAGCTGATAGTGTTGCATGAGATCCATGCCAATAATACCGGTAGTTACATCTGCCACAAGGAAAACCCAGCGAAATGATCTACGTAAGCCTATATTAAGATCTAGGAACCTTTTACCGTACGTTGTTATTGGCGAACCGTTTGCGGCACGAAGCTGTAAGGAAAGTGGCTTCTGGCGCTCTTCAGATGTTGGTGGAATCACGCTAACTTCCGCCCCAGTGTCAACCAGGAAGCGTGTCCCAGTGTTACGGTCGGTAACATAGAAGAGGCGACATGGAAGTGGTTCGCCAGCGACGTTAGTCGCCAATACGTGCTGACTTACTGGTTTCCCGATTGCTGGACACCGAAGGTGCACGGGCGAGTACATTTTGGGCCTTGTCACCATAACGCTGGTGATACCAGCACACTCCAGGTTGGGAATTATGAGACCTACGACGCCTGCTGCCAGCTCGTGGAGAAGATCTACCACGAGTCGAGCTGGTGCGGCCATTTGAGCGACCTCTAGGTCTCATATTGAGTCTTAACTTACATATCTCCTCATATAGCTTAGTTATGTGGGCCACCACATCTAAGTTTGATGACCCCTCGGCAGAGGAGTTCTTAGTCTGCGTGGGACTAGCGGTTACGGCAGCCGAAATGTTCGTGTTGGATGTAGTAGTCTCTACTACTCTATCGGCCGCCTCAGCTAGTTCGGATAAGGGGGAATGGTTGATTGGAGCTAAAATGGTCTGAATCGCCTGTGGCAATCGTTGTAACCACAGCCGTTATAAGAAGGCGTCGTCTACAGTGTTAAGCTTAGCCGACTTTGGTATCGAACAAATTTACTGGATCTAGCATTCCATTGAAATATCATTTCTTTCTTTGCTTTGATAGTATGTAATGTTAGTTATACCGACGGGCTAATAAAATGTTCCTGGGATATTCGTGCTTAATCAAACAGCATAGTGGCATTTAAAATTGCCACAACTCTAATGACAAACTGACCAATCACAAGCAACACTGACAGTTGTTTCTCGGCAAAGTTCTACAATAGAGTCCCAAGGAACGAACGCACAAGTGACCTTGAGCCGACCAGTCAGAAAAAAGGATGATTTTTGCATAAAATCTTACGTATATTTACATAAAAAAGCATAAAAGACGTTAAACAGGATATTTTTCTCTAATATGAGATAAAAATATCTCCCAATTTTGTATTGGGGTTTCAGTTTTTAAGTTGAACCAATTTCTATACATGTATTCATCCAGATGACTAAAAATAACTTGGTTTTGAAAACCATTTATAGCTTTTATTCTATTTTTTAATCTTCCCCAGAAACCTTCGATGGAATTATTATGAGTACCGGTGACAGGGTCGACGGAATCATTCGAATGGTTCACTCTATGATGTATATATCCCAATTGTGATATTTGGCTATATTCCGCCCATTCATCTGTGTGAATGGTGGTGCCTGGTAACACTAGACGCTGAATAATAGGGAGGAGGAGTGTATGAGCACTCCTATCTAGAATCAGCTCCATAAACCCTTTGCGAATCTAGGTATCATAAATTCCTAAAACCCAAACGTTATTCGCTCTGGCACCCAGTAAGTGGACAGAAAGAAGATATTCAGGCAAAGTTAAACTTTCGACACCAATAACAACCAATCATCAAAGACAGTTTCAACTTTTCAAAGAAAGTTCCTAGAAGACAATTAATTCAGTGTCGCTTACCAGTATGCACAATCATTCGCGCTAGAATAATAGTGAGCTTCCTCAACCAATAACTAGCATGCGTTCAGGGTCATTGGAACATTCACATGGTCATTGGAACATTTACAATCTTGGGACTCTATTGTTGAACTTCGCCTGTTTCTCTCACTGGCGGGCATAGGAAATTGCGTCCTGTAAGGCATGGGGCAGCCTGTAGACGGCCGTAGGTCATTTGATCAGCTGATGTCTAGCGGCTTTATTTAATGAAAAAACTTCGAAAATAGGTGATTTTTCGTTGTTTTACACACTTTTACACCCATATTGCCGCTAAAAGTTGATGTAATAAGGCGTTTTTAGCATAAACAGGAAATGATGGTGTCCTTATCCGGCCGTAATTTACGGCCAATTTACAAATTGTTGAATTACGTACTTTTCCGTTCGGAAAATGTCGAAATACTTGAATAGACATATTATAACGACTTCTAGTGAATTTTTTTTGCAGTTTAAAGGATTATACATGGACATGATGAGGTGGGATAGTTGGTTTTGTTGATTATTTGATTTACTTTGTTGTTTACTTTTGCTAATGCTGTCAAAGCTCCTGTACATGTATTTCATTAAAGTAAATCTGCAGAAATACTTGGAAATTATATACGCATAGTATTTGCTTATTTTATAGCATATACTTGATGTTTACAGGTAGATGCAATATCCATTTTTTCTTCTTGAAAAATATTGACTGATGTAGTTGTATACAATTAAACTGATTATTTCATCATTTTAAACATGTTAAGTAGTTATTTACAGTGGTAACAATGTCTACATCTTTAGAATTGTTTTGTTCTTTTTCAGATAATATCTACTTTCGAGAATTTCATGGATTTGGGCGATAAAGAAAAAGATATCTGCCGTGTTTTTGATTATGTATTACATGTTTATTCATTAATAAATGTATTCCACGTAATTCGTTTGCATATTCTAGTTGATAAAGCTGATTTGTAGCCTTTGCGTAATTTGTGAGGTACGGAGTATATGACGTGATCTTAAAAACGCTAGGTAAAATTAGATATTTGGAGAGGCTTATTGATAAAAAGACTATGTCGTGCCGTAATGAACTTACTGCGTCCACTTGTAAAAGGAAACATTGAAGTTATAAGCGCTTAGTTATATATCGTCTTAGTAGGAACCTATTAATTGACTTCGGATTCATAGTCAAACAAGGTTAAAAGTAAATCTACCTGAGATAGCTAGCTTGCGATTTCTACTTATCGTAATAAAGCAAGATGGTAATAATGTACCTATACTGTTCCATATGTGTAACTAAGTGCAACTACGGTTATCGCATTAATTAAATATAGAATGCCTACGGTTCGCAGCTACAGAACACGGTACGTTGCTATCTGTTCATGTAATCGCGTAAACAACAGTTTCCCAGACGCCGCATTTACTCCTAAAAGTTTGCCCTTAATTCCTAACTTCGCACGTGTTACTAACGTCACTGGAACACAATCGCGTTACAACAGATGGAACACAAATTCATTAAAAAAGTGTTTATTAAACAAAAATTAGATTTGAGATGTACAGATAATTCAGATGAGTAGTCCTCCGTCACTGTCAGTAGGTTTCATCTGCGTACCAGCACATATATGTTTCTCCATAAGCCTGAAAAGGTTTAAGAAAAGCATTATTAACTTAGATGTTACATGTATGATCTGAATCATAGGCATTTACAAGTAATCACTTCACAAACAATATATATAAGTAGCTATAAGCTTGAACAAAGATTTTAATAAGTGACAACAGCTTTATGACAAATAATACGAGTTTTGACAGCATTAACAATAGTAGGTATTATTATCGCAACGAATTCATCATTAACTTAGATAGACAACTACTTATTATACAATCATATCAATTAAATGTATCACTTAATCTTATGAAGCAGGTGTTTACTTACTTTCATTGCATTCTCGCAATACTGATGTGGTCAACTAGCTTATTCCAAATGAACTCAAGATTAATCCTGAAAGGTAATAGAGACCCAGTTTATTTCAACTAAAAACATGTAGCCTACATGTATTACACTGCTTACTGAGACATCTGATACCTGCTTTCAGATCTTCGTGACAGGAAAACAGTATATGTGGGTTTACCTAGATATGCTGTTTTGATCTTGATATAGGATGAATTCATTGAATTCAGCAAATAAATCCTGGCGAAGTTCAACAATAGAGTCCCAAGATTGTAAATGTTCCAATGACCCTGAACGCATGCTAGTTATTGGTTGAGGAAGCTCACTATTATTCTAGCGCGAATAATTGTGCATACTGGTAAGCGACACTGAATTAATTGTCTTCTAGGAACTTTCTTTGAAAAGTTGAAACTGTCTTTGATGATTGGTTGTTATTGGTGTCGAAAGTTTAACTTTGCCTGAGTATCTTCTTCCTGTCCACTTACTGGGTGCCAGAGCGAATAACGTTTGGGTTTTAGGAATTTATGATACCTAGATTCGCAAAGGGTTTATGGAGCTGATTCTAGATAGGAGTGCTCATACACTCCTCCTCCCTATTATTCAGCGTCTAGTGTTACCAGGCACCACCATTCACACAGATGAATGGGCGGAATATAGCCAAATATCACAATTGGGATATATACATCATAGAGTGAACCGTTTGAATGATTCCGTCGACCCTGTCACCGGTACTCATAATAATTCCATCGAAGGTTTCTGGGGAAGATTAAAAAATAGAATAAAAGCTATAAATGGTTTTCAAAACCAAGTTATTTTTAGTCATCTGGATGAATACATGTATAGAAATTGGTTCAACTTAAAAACTGAAACCCCAATACAAAATTGGGAGATATTTTTATCTCATATTAGAGAAAAATATCCTGTTTAACGTCTTTTATGCTTTTTTATGTAAATATACGTAAGATTTTATGCAAAAATCATCCTTTTTTCTGACTGGTCGGCTCAAGGTCACTTGTGCGTTCGTTCCTTGGGACTCTATTGTAGAACTTTGCCTAAATCCTCTGGTTTATCAAATCTAACATGAGCTGTAATAGTATGTGCTGTGAATTATGCACCCGACTTGATAAAACGCTCCTGGCAATTGCGAACTTAACCAAGCAGATAAATGATGTTTGAAATTACCGCAGGTCGAATGACAAACTGGCCAATCACAAGCGAGCAAATCACTTGTTTATCTCACTCGCGGGCACTCAAAATTACGGCCGTCGACAGGCTGCCCGACAGGCTGCCTAAGGCATGGTAAGTTCGGCGGTTTTCTAATGTTCAAACTATGCTTGTCTACTTTCAGGTCGGCTACGAAGTGTGCAGGGATTGGTTACCCAAGACGAGGCAACGGATGACTAATAGGACTGCCCTTTCCCTCTCATCTAATTGTATTGTGATTGGTTGTAAATATAATCCTTGACCTTCAGTCTTCGTTCTTACTCGCACACGACACTTGTGTGATCACACTTCTAACGTGCGCTTTGCTCTCTGTTTCAGATCATTGCTTGACGAGTGGGATTATAGTCCGTCGAGTAGTTCTTAGGTGTCATTTGTAAAGTAAGTTCAGCAGGAAATCCTACTGTCATTTCAAAATTTCTGTCTTCCAAACAAAGTGTAGAAAATACATCATCATGATAAAAACAATCAATCTTAATCTGACATATCACGTGGGTGTGTGCACTCCCAGTCGTGTTCTTATACGATTGCACTCACATTAATTATGCTACACCTCCTGCCTGCAGAAGAACTTGTTTGATTATCGCTCACGTTCTGTTTTCTTTCTTCTTATTTTTCAGATTTTGGTTAACTTGTTGGTTGGTGTACTGCAAGAGTAATGACAGACGATATTGTATCATTAAGGTTGGCGTTATTGAATGCTAAGTCTAATCTACTGACTCATTTACAAAATCATCATGATCTCCAGCCTGTTAAATCAGAATTTAAAAACTTGGTTGACGAATTCAATGACTTGGGAAAGTATTGCCGGTATTTGTATGAGAATGCAAGAAGAAAGGTTAGGTCATATTTTTCTCCACTATTAATAAGTGTTTTGTGTCTAAGCCTCTTTTAAAACTTCACTCCTTTCTGTTTTTTTTTTATAGCAAAAGGGCTGTCGCAGGCCTTTTTCAACAATTTTATTTCCTATTTAGTTGTTTGTAACACTTACAATCGGAGAATGCTTCGAAATCTGGTTGTAGGTGATCTGCTTGTTTACCTATATGTAACGCACCTGGTAGTAAAATTCTGGGAACATTTGGGGTTGTGCAAGCGTTTTAAGAAAATTTTGGCAATGTGTTGAAATTGTTAGAGTTACAGCGGTTTAGTATTGACTGACTGCTTCCAACGTACAACTTTGCATAGATGTGCAGCATTTCGAGTCGTCACTCGCCCCCTAGTTGTAAAACACAAAGCAAGAGAGATTCAAAAGGAAGTTAAACAGGAATATAAGGCAAAAAGAATAGTAATATGGGAGAACAATAGAATTTCATCGGATAAGATAAATCACTGAGAGTGAATGCATCTGCGCCACTGAAAACAATTTTGAGCTATATCACCAATAGTCTTAAGCCACTGGTTTTTGCCATTCCGAGGATGCTGCGTAAGTTGAACGTGGCTGTGGGCCAATTCAATTTCTCCTCAAAGTGTTCTTTCCAAGCTTCCAGTCCTCTATCCTGTGAGCTAATTATGGTACCGTTTTTCTTGGAGATTGTTTCACTTATCATTTGTCTTTTGCCACCTCTTTCCCTGACAAGTCTAAATAGTTGTCTGGTGTTACTTATCGTCGATGCCTTTTCCATCTCTCGCCCACCACTGTTCTTGGTCGTTACGAAGACTTCTTGTTAGTTTGCGTTTGAGCAGCTTTCGCTTCCCATCATATTTGGAGCTCGCCGGAATCAGTTTTTTTGTTGCGTTAATCATTTTGGATGAGATAATGGAAATCCACTGGCTCTTATTTACTTTTGGTTTTAGCTTATTAACAGCCTTTACAGCTGTGTCTACAGCTAACTGTACATTGTGCCAGACTTCCTCAGGAGGGGTCCTACTGTCGACCTGAGATACTCGTTTCGCTATTTCTTCCTTAAATAGGGAGTTAGTGTCTTGATCAATCTGGGGGGTGTGTGTAATTGCTTCGCTGTGCTACCAACAGTTTTTATGTCCGTTTAGACGTAAGCATAAGCATGCACCAACCAGGGTATGGTTGGAGTCAAAGCATGTGTTCCAAACTGAATTTCCATATTAGTTTGTTTATTAGATATTATCACACAGTGAAACAGTATTATTTACTGGATGACGTTTCGAACAAAATTTATTGTTCATAATCATATCAATTGTAATCACACGACTTTGACACTTGAGTTTTATAGTTTTCTTTGTTCTCTCCTATTTGTCGTATGGGTAGTAGAATTTTCCAGATATCGGGGATACATGTCTACGTATTGAAAAATGTCCTGTATGCATTTCTTCGTAAAGGTTTTCATTCATCTTTTCACTTATCTAATTTGTCGATAGTTCTTCCCATCTTTGTTTTTACTCCTCAACTTTGATCGATACACTTTCGACCGATGCCTAACCTCAATATTGCTCACCCTATTCTACCACTTCACACCGCAGATAGAAAGCAGGTACCTATGATCAAAGACAGCTAGCCAGACTTTTCATGTCTTCACTTTGAATGGCCATGTGTCACTCACAACTAGCCATAAAGGAGGACGGAGTGGACTGCTGAGCAGTACACCCGCCGTTTGGTCGATAGACAGCTGGATATCACGTCTACTAAGCTAGAAATTGCGTAAACTGGCATATGCGAAACTAGCCTTCTATATCCGTGGAGAGATTTCGTCAGCGATCAACCCGCTGGCGTTGGCTGATGCAGCTCGCGAAATAAGTGAAGCGGTCAAAGTGACCTTCCACTTCATTCCCTGTTTCTAAGCTAGGAGTTAGTCAATGTAGTCCAACCAGTCCTGAAGTATCATCTTATATTTGACAAAGGGAGCGAATTGCATGCCAAACATCTTCTCAAAGGTTTACATGTTTTTATTCTCTCGATTTACAAACTGTGGGTCTTAAGCTGACAGAAACGACTAATTCATTAAGGCTATAAGCAGAAGTGTAGAAACAACCCAAGGAGTACAGCTGGTGTAAACGGCTATCAAGTCTAGGACCTAAAAGTATTGAAGGCTGACATATAGTAGAACTGTTGACTATTCGTTGACAATAAAAGCTAAGCCGTATGAAAAAGTGTTGGTTTTCAGATTGTTATTCATAGTAAACGATGTTTAGAAATTAAGTAATCTAACTGAAGATGGATCATAATGGTACATCTGCAATGATAATTAGTCTTCTATGTTCTTTTCTTCTCTGCTTTATGGCGCTATACGAACTTGTACTATTATGCATTTAGTAGTAGTGGGTTATGTTGTTATTGATTTTTTGATTATGTAGTCCTAGTCTCAGGATCGATCACGGATTCATATCAGTTAGAGAACCACTGAAAACCTGGGAGTATTGATTATTTGTTTCATCCTAGTTTGAGAATTCTCCAGCAGCAACCTACCAGTGGGGTTCGAACCCAACACCTTCCAGTCCGATTATCCAGTAAGCTTGTAGACCATTCAGCTATTGGGACCCTATTCAACGGCCAACCCATGAATTTCAACTTATACCAATCCGTAGTTTTAGCTCGACTGGCACCAGCCAATATCATCCTCATTATTATTATTATTGTTCCCTTGGGTTCCTAGTGGAGCATGGCTTCAACTGCACGCCTCCACTTGTTTCTGTCTTCTGCTGTACTTTTCACCTGCATCCATGTTAGTCCATACTGTTTCCACTCTTCTTCACACCATCTCCTCCATGTCACCCTTGGACGTCCCACTCGCCGCTTCCCTTTCGGGTTCCACTGGAGCACTGGCCTGACGCGTGATGTCACCCAGTGGTCTCCTCAGCGAGTGTCCAGTCCATCTCCACTTCCTCCTGCATATTTGTTGAGCGATTGGTTCTTGTTTTGTTTGTTCCCATAGTTTCTCGTTGGTGATTCTGTCTGGCCATCTGATCTTGAGTATAGAACGAAGACAGTTATTGATAAATATCTGCAACCTGTTGGAAATATTCTTTGTGACCCGCCGACCGCCGACCTTATTAGCCCAACTGGTCATGACTTCTCACTAGAACTCCAGGCAGCCTCATTCTGGGGAGCCAGTCACTAGGGTGCATCAAATTAATTTCATTTGTTTTAAGTTTGACCACCATGAATTGATATCAGTCAGAGAAGCATTAAACATCAGGGGAGTACTGGACGGCTGTTTCATTGTAGTTTTGGGACTTTACGATGATAGCGACTGTGTTAGATAGTACTTATAGTACCTATCTATTTTTTGTGATGGCATGATCAGTGCTTTCATATCGTTCACATAACAAATCTTTGATTTTATTTTTGAATTAGACGAAATTAATAAATGTTTACTAACAGCTTAAAAGGAGAATTAATTTAATTATAGGTAAAATTTATTTTGATAAAGTTTCACACAGTGGTGTTATACGATAATTAATATTTACTGATGATAACCACGTTTCGAGCACAATTTATTTCTGCTGGTAATCATCATATCAAGGCACTACTCACACAACTTTCTAACCTCGTTTATATAATTCCATTATTTCCACTCATCGCTTGATTTGATGATTGGTATTATTATTTGCCACATCTGTAGTATTAGTTTTGAGTCACTTCTATTACACGTGTTGGGTGTAGGTAGACTCGATGAACCAAGATTCAGTAATCAACCACCTCTCTCTCTCTGTCTCCACCTACCTATACTACTTTTTAGAATTTTAACTCTGTCCCACTCAACCTATTGTGTGTTTGCGTGTTAATGCATGCAGTGCAATCACTGAGCTTTTTTCTAAATTAGTAGATCAGGGGTAGTCAGATTGTCGGAACATGAGAACTTAGATAAGGTTGGAATGGTTGACCTCGCGAAGATAAGTAATTTAGAAAACAAAACGTCATCAGTAAATATTACTTGCTGTATAACACCACCGTGAGACTTTATCAAAATAAATTTTATACCCATAATGAAATTATACTCTACCGCCACTATGCACAAGTTTTCTATTCTTAATTAACTGTAATGGCTTCCTCAAAATTATCTGATAAGGAACACTACTAAAAAAATCACCGAAAATACATTATCCGGCATGGTTAGCAAAGGGACAATGCAAGACAATTACTAGCTCAATTCTCGAGCATTTGGTGAACTCAGGCCACTTAGCTCCACCAGAATCGTCTTTCAAGATCATCTACAAAGTGAAGCCAAATGGTACAAAGGGCGTCAGGTTTCGGCTTTTGTGTATGGCGGAGGCTCTAGCAATTCATCAATACAACCCTGAACTCTGTATACAGAAAAAGTTTGTCCAGTCTCTTATTCTACCTTGGTCTTAACCTCTTCACTAATCGTTCCTTGTAAATAAAATATATTTTGATTTTTCTTTTCATTCTAATTTCACTTTTAGTTAGCTTTTGCTTTAATAATTAATTCACTATTATCACTCTCATATGCTCCTTTTGTATATTTTCACACCCTCTTCACACTTGTTAAATTGACACTCAAATGCCTTTATTCTCACTTAATAGCAATTTTAACCTTATCAAATTTCTATCTTTGTGCCGTTGAGTACCACGTAATTTTCAACCTCTAATTTTCACTTCTGAAGCCACTTCTGAGTAATTATATCAATTATGTTACCCCCTATTACTCAATAATAGACCACTATATATTTTTGTAAGTATAAATACGATCGTACAGCCTCTGAAGATGATTTCGTCGATAAAGAAAATTTACTAAAAAAATGTCACGTAACTTCAGCGCACCAACAAAAGGAACTCATAAGTCATGGGACCCGGTACAGCCGCTGCATGTCTCATGACTTCCGAACAGGAGAACGACCACGGGATGATCACAGGTCTACCAATCACCCACACCGTGGAAACTATCAAAATCTGATCTAGAGCTGGGCCCTTGATTACAACGAACTGTCTAGTCATCTGCAAAGAATGTACCACTATTATATCCGAAAATAGGGGGACATACAAAGAAAGGAAGTCTTACATGACATGCGTTTTTATGCAAATGTGTGTGTGCATATTAGGATTAGGTTGGGTTTCGTTCAGGTCGTGGATGCATTCATCATGTGTTCACCCTTCGTCAGTTGTTGGAACACCGCAACACGTATTGCACGCCAACAATCGTAGTGTTTCTTGATATTAGGGCTGCCTTCGATTCGTTGGACAGAAGTGTGCTCTGAAACTGTCTGTTTGAGACGGGTGTACCCGAGAAATTTGTTAAAATCTTGAAAGCCCTATATAGAAACACCTCAGGTAGAGTGAGGACATACAACCAACTATCATCACTGTTCCCAACCGACAGTGGGGTTAGACAGGGTGGCTCGATCTCTCCATTTCTCTTTAACTTTGCCATCGATGATATTCTGGATTCATCTCTGAAGGTTGTGTATGAAGGTGGTCTAGATCTGCTAGCTGGAGATAGAGTTTTCGACCTCGAGTGTGCAGTCGATATCGTCTTACTGTGCGATAACATGCAGGCTGCCCAAATCGCACTTAATCAGTTGGCGATCAGTGTCTGTAAGTATGGTATATGCCTTGCACCGTCTAAGTGCAAAGTACTGTTAAGAGATTGGCAGGAGTTTGTACCTGCACTCACTCCTCCACGCGAACCTCTTTAAGTTGTTGATAAGTTCTTGTATCTAGGTAGTTGTGTGAATGCTGGCGGAGAGGTGACGTATGAGATTTCCGACCGTATAATGATGGTTAGGGTGGCATACATCAACTTGAGCCACCTCTGGCGCCATCGCAACGTTAGCCTGGCTGTCAAAGGTTGGCTATACTATGCGCTTCGGTGCGGGTTGTCTTGCTCTACGCCTGTGAAACCTAGCCTCTCCAAGCTGAAGATGTGAGGCGACTCTGCGTATTAGACCATCGCTGTCTCCACAGAATTGCTTGCGTGTGATGGCATTATCGCGTTGAGTAATTCTGAGGTTTGGCGGCGTGTGTTTGAACACAGTGGAGATCAACATTCGTTGAGTGTCGTCATCTAGAAAAAAAAGGCTTCGGTGGCTTGGACATGTGTTGCGAATGTCATCCTGGAGGCTTCCGTACAGGTCTCTGTTCGCTAGCCCTGGGACGGGATGGAAAAGGTTAGTCCATCACGTGGCGTCGTGGGATAAAGGATATTTGTACTAGATTAGCATCTGTTGGTGCGTCACGACTCCCTGATTGGGGTCCGCGAGATAGCCCGAATCGATGGCTCGAAACGTTATCGGATATGGCCAAGAATCGCAATCATCAATGGTGAACGTGTTGCAATTTCCTTCTTTCTTTCCTTCCCGATAATAGTTGACGAATACTGTTTGAACTTGTCAAGGATGACTTTTCCTTCCAGATGAAGTTCTTTACCCGTTCTCTACTTATATTTTTATTTGTAATCCATGTTGTTTTATTATTATTGTGTGGCGCATCTTTCTTGCTGCCATATTGTACCAAGTTTTTTTTGCGTGTAAATGAATAAATAAATAATTTTTGCGTGTGCGTAGTGCCTTGGTATGATGATTATGAGCAGTAATAAATTGTGCTCGAAACGTGGTTATCATCAGTAAATATTACTTGCTGTATAACACACTGTGTGAGACTTTATCAAAATAAATTTTACCCATAATAGAATTATACTCTACCGCCACGACTGTGCACAAGTTCTATTCTTATATCAGGGAATTAGTTTATTTGTTGTAAAATTCTGTTATACACAACTTCAAGCTATTTATTTACGGTATTATTCACTCTTTCATATATATTCTTCTTTGAATTATTTCATGACATTGAAAAACACCCCCTGTCGGATACAACGTTAACTGTTGTAAAGTTTTTCTATTACTATCATCATTTTCAAGAATTGGTTTTGTAGGGATTTTGTTTTGATTGGATGGAAGAGTTCATCATGAGCTGACATCAGTTAGAGAACCATGAGTAAACCTGCAGGGAGTACTGGGCAGCTCTTTCGTCCTAGTTTGGGACTCCTCATCAGTACGCACCCACACCGTGTGGTTCGAACCCAGGGCCTTCTGGTTACAAGGCTAGTGAGCTCGTAGACCATTCATTCAACCACTGGGATCCAATCCAATGGCCAGTCAGTCCATGAATTCTAACTTCTGCCAATTCATGACATAGCACGACCACTTCACAATGTCTTCTTCGATGAGTTACCACCTCATCTTCAACCTGCTGTACCCTACTGATCACGGCTATTATTATTATTATTTTAATCAAGTTATTTCTGACGCTTCTTCCTCCCCCAACCTTTTCTTTATTTCCCATAGGTCAAATCTAATCTACTCAATGAAGACGATAAAAGGGTATCATCAGCATCAGCGTTTCATAAAGAAGCATTTAGTCAACTACAAGAGCTATTAGACATGCATACGAATTGTTCATATTTGTTAGACTTACATCAAACTTTAATTGATTTAGAAGCTTCAATCGATGAATTGATATGTGAATGTTCAATATTTGGCGAAAAAGAAAACTGGAAGAAAATACTCAATGTAGACGAGTCAGAAGGTGATTGTAAGGATAACTTAAAAGTTGAAGAAAACTACAAAGAAATTAATGAGGCAGTATGCCGGTGAGTGTGGTTTACTCCGTAACTTTTTATTTTACCAGTGCTTAAGACACGAAAAAGGGCAAGTGTCTACAATACACCTTTCACAACTATGGTGGTGGACATGCTGGCTTAACCTAGGGGACTGATTGATTGACTAACTGACTGGTTTCAACAAAGGTAGCACTTCGCACAGATATGCAGCACTTCAACTTGGCACTCTCCCTCCATGTACCACACAGAGCAAGAGAAGACAGTAAAGAGAGATTCAATTGTGAGTGAGGGGAAAAGAATAGTAGTAATGTGGTCGAAGAACAATAGGGTTTCATTGGATGATATGAGAAATCACAAAGAGCGAGTGAATGCATCTTCGCCAGCCATTGAGAACGAGGATTCTGAGCCATATCACCAATAACTGACTCCAGCCTTCATTAGTTCTTACCATCCCTAGGACCCCAATCAACCAGTTAGGAAATCCACACCTCCCTACGTGACTTAAACTGACTGTTGTGGATTTCATTCACTGATGCCGCCAAGTTTCGGTTTGACTACCAACCACTAACTGTTTTCCAAAAACCTGATTCATCCTGTGTCAGCTAACATTGTTGGTTGTCGAGGAAGACGATGGATGGTTAGCCATGCATGAGTTACCCATATCCTAGCTATCTCAATCGATGTAACTTCACAACCTAATCAATTGATTTCCCCTCCCTATCTAACACTTGATCGATGCCTGACTTCAGTATTACTCACCCTATTATACTATACCACCACTTAACACGGGAGTTAGAATTCAGACATCTATGATCAAAGACAGCTGGCTGGGCAGGCTTTTCATGTCTTCCACTTTGAATGGCCATGTGTCACTCACAGCGAACTGGTGCGTTCCTAGTCTACTGAGAGTAAGTCCTATTCCTATGAAAGGGAAATTCCGAACATGTGGCGCTTACAACCAGACTGATAGACATACTGGTCTATCTAGTTAAGGGAGTTGGAAAACTGATTCCAAACCTATTGTGTACATTCCCCTTAGAATACTTAGAGAATCAAATGATGTATGAACCTTCATTCAGTCACCGGAAACTTTAGGAACGCAACTCCCCCGCATTGCTCCACTGCCTTATGGATTCGACTTAGAATCAAATGTTCGGGGAAGGGATTGCCCTTAAAGGCAACCACCCGCTGTATTCTGCATACCTGAGCAGTATCATAACCATCGTACAAACTGACATATTGTGTGGTGCATCTCTTGGTTGCCCATAATGTACCATGTTTGTGTTTGAATGATATAGTCATTATTAGTGTATGAGTTTTGATATTCACGGAATGTATAAAATACGTAAAGCTATTAAATGTAAATGAAGACACGTACAAAGACGTTGGTCAACTCAAGCCTCCTACTCTGTTTCACGTCTATTACGGATTATATATAACAAGTGCTTTTAGCGATGTTATTTTCACTCTATGAGAAGCAACGGATAGTTTCTGAAAAAAAATGTTTCCATATTTCCATAAATATGTGATGCTGACAAGCGGGAGATAGTGGACGCGATTCCATCGCGACTGCATCTGATTCACAGACCTCTAGAGTATGCGTAAATAATCTCAAGAAGCTGTCCCTGTAGTCTCACACGTTCTGGTCGATATGACGACCATTATTAATCCATCTGTTTACTTAGGTACTTCAAGAGAAAGTAATATTTAATGTTTTCACGATGTTAAAGGATTTCTCTTCCTCTCTCTCCCTAACAGACAACTGCAGAGTGCAGTTTTGCCCAGCGAATCGAAGGCAGCCCTATTATCAAGAACCACCAACGATTGTTTGTCTGAGAATAGTACGCTAGTTGTGGATAGTTACGTCATATATCGAACCAAAACAGGATAGATAAGTGTATATCTGCCCACAATAATGTGTTTTAGTGTGTAATAGGCGTTTTAAAATATAGCGAAAATATTCATTCAGACATCTATAAAACACAAAATAATTGAGCAAAGAATATCCTTTTCGATAATTTCCTCTTCTGGTTCTACAATTTTAAACATATACATGTTTATATACACAGAATATTCTAGAATAGTAGTCAATAACAATATCGGTGTTTTTTAAATAATATCGAATTGTTAAGTAAGATCACAAAGATGCTTAAATTTATAATAATAATAATAATAAAGATATAGTAGTAAATAGAATATCAACTAAAATCAGGAAAATTCCACAAAAATTCCGGATTATTCAAACCTGGATGGCCAAGGTAAGGACAATGTTTGAACTAGCTTCTTTTGGACTCATAAATTAGGCTTCTTAATATGGGTCCCAACAGCCTCAGCAATATTTAGTAGTCGAACTCTTAAGGCAAAATTGAGATTTTTTTGGTATGCGGTAAATAGCCCTGAAAGAATGGTTAACATCAATCTTTTGTGCTGTATCCACGAGATGAGGTAGAATAGCGCTGCGAATAGATTTTGTTTGTCCTTTACTTAACCACCATGCAGGGTGATGTTCGGAAATTCGACGAGAAACACGTCTAATTGTACGGCCTATGTAACTAGCTGGTTCCACAGGAGCAGTTAAATTGGTAGATAAACATTGAGGAGGCGAAATTAGGCAGTTTGTCTTTTACTCCCGAGTACAAAAGAGGAGTGGTTTTGAAGACACAGCGTAATTCGGTAGCAGGGAATGCTCTTTTTACCGCATTTCTGAAATGTTGTGTTAGTATCTCGCTGATGTTGTCCCCAAGGAATTGCATTTGTAAAAATAAGGCCTTTTTAGAAACTGTTGGTACCTTGGGCTGCTTTGATTTTAGATTCATATTCTTATCAATAAACTTTTCTGGATAACCATTTTCACCCAGCGACCGTTTAATATTATTAAGTTCCTCATGAAGGCATTCATCCGAGAATATTGCTCTTGCTCTGTGAATCAAACAGTTTATCAGATTGCGTTTGTATTTCAAGGGCACGAAGCTGAAAAAAAATGAGTATACTGACAGTCAGTTGATGTACGTTTTCTATATACACTTCTTATTGTGCTATCCTCTTTTCTGGTCATAAGGACGTCTAGAAATGAAATAAAGTGAATTATTATTAATATTACTAGAGTCGTTTTCTTTCTCAATAGTAAACTTTTTTGCGGGATGAACCTCGTTAAATTTGTCCAGACAGGATATTCTTTGCTTCCTTCTCATTTTTCATAATCAAAAATGTATCATTCATGTACCGACAATAGAATTCAAGTTCATGGATAACATCCTTCAAAGGCCCATTATTTTCTAGTTTCTCAAGGAAAATGTCGGCTAAAATACTCACCCAATTTCTTCTTTTTTTTCTTCTAATGCTTAGCTCGTACGTCGATAATATAGTTTATTATCTTCAATTGGCTGAACATTTACTCGCTGAACAACCAAAGTTTAATAAGGACGCTGCATTGCTATTTCCAAGCATGACGCTTACACTTATACGATGCAAGGTACGATTTGTTCCTTTTTTTGTGTATTATTACTATTATTATTACTGATATGTACTACTTATAAATGATCATTAGTATATCCAGAAATCGCTTTGGAAGTGAGCAATGATTGCATTATGTGTGTTAGTGAGACAAAAAAAAACGCCGGAAGTAGAAGTAAGGCTGTGAGTGGTGCCCTTTTCAATCCTCTTGAAAGGTAGGTGGTGGGTGATATAACTAACGTTGTAGAAGACTTGTCAGCGTTGAATTTCTCGAATACTTCCTGCCTATATTTTGGACTGTCTTAAAGTGAAACTAATCGCCAAACAGATTTTCATCGACGATTCGCCTATCCGCAATCTCCATATGAACAGCTGTGAGCAGCTTACTTTTCGCCCCCATCTCTCGGCCAGTACGCCCGAAAATGATTAACTTTATATTCCGTGCTCTCCTACACAACGCGTGAAGAGTACTGACTGACTGACTGGTTTCAACATAGATGGAACTTTGCACTGATGTGCAGCACTTCAAGTTGCCAGTCTCCCTCCATGTACCACACAAAACAAGTGAAGAGAGTAAAGAGATTCAAAATAGAGAGAGATAATAAACGGAAGTATGACTGAAGGAAAAAGAATGGTAGTAATAGGATGGAAGAACAATAGAGTTTTATTGGATATTATAAGTCATAATGTGTGGATGCATCTGCGCCATTGAGAACGATTTTAACAATATCATTGATTGTCTCCAGCCATTGATTTTTACCGTTCCGAGGACCCCAACCAGTCAGGAAGTCTACACCTTCCTACTTGGCTGGCTGAAACGAACTGTTGTGGATTTCATTGACTGATGCCGCTATGTTTTGGTTTGACCACCAGTGATTCTTCTATAACCTGACCCTACGTCAGCTAACATTGCCCGTGGAGGAAGGCGATGACTAGGCATACGTAACACATGTTGTAACCATCTCAGCCGATGTAACTGCATAACCTCGTCTATTGATTTTCCCTCCTTACCTAGCACTCGACTGAGGCCTAACCTCAATATTGCTCACACTATTCTACCACTTCACCTATGATCAAAGACAGCTAGCCAGACTTTTCATGTCTTCCACTTTGAATGGCCATTTGTCACTCACAGCTAGCCATAAAGGAGGACGGAGTGGACTGCTGAGCAGTACACCCGCCGTTTGGTCGATAGACAGCTGGATATCACGTCTACTAAGCTAGAAATTGCGTAAACTGGCATATGCGAAACTAGCCTTCTATATCCGTGGAGAGATTTCGTCAGCGATCAACCCGCTGGCGTTGGCTGATGCAGCTCGCGAAATAAGTGAAGCGGTCAAAGTGACCTTCCACTTCATTCCCTGTTTCTAAGCTAGGAGTTAGTCAATGTAGTCCAACCAGTCCTGAAGTATCATCTTATATTTGACAAAGGGAGCGAATTGCATGCCAAACATTCGCAGATTGCTCCTCAAGGTGTTCAGAAAACTGCTCTGTTTGGTCAGCTTCTTCCCCTAGAAGGACTATATCATCTGCCCATTCAAAGTCTACGAGACTATTATTCCCTGCATCTCTGAAATGAGTTGAGGTTAAGTCCGTTAGTAAATCTGAAATGAAATTGAATAGAAATCAGGATATTGGGCATCCCTGACGGACACCGCTAGTTTTCACCATTTCAGATGACAACTTGCCGGCTGCATGAGTTCGAGTAGAGTGTCTTGATTAATGCAATGTATTTTCTCGGCATTCCCTTCACAGCGAAGCATCGCCATAGTACCTCTCGGTCAACAGAATCGAATGCCGCCTTTAGGTCAAGAAAGATAACGGTTGTTGGACGCCGCCAACTATGCCTACTGAGATTTCGTCAGTGATCAAACCGTTGGGGCTGGCTGATTTCACTTGCCAAATGAGTGAAGTATATAGTCAACACCCTCAGGCACCACTTCACTTGACTCCCTATCTTGAAAGTAGGAATGAGTCAATGTGCTCCAGTCCTATATCATTATCATCTTACATTTGATAAAAGGAGCGAATCGCATGCGAAACACTCGAAGCTTGCCGCTACTCATGATGCGTTCAAAAGAATCTGCTCTATTTTGTCAGTGTTTTCACCTAGGCGGGGAGCTATATCATCTGCATGTTCTAAATCAACGAGATTATTCCCTGGTAGCAAGTCAATCCCTGCGTCTCTGAAGTGGGTTACGTTCACGTTCATCAGTATATCTTTGATGTGTGAAGTGTACATGACTTGCGGCTGTCAGCAGGTAGAATTACTGATTTCTGAAGCTTACTTCATCATCACTGAATCGCAATAACTTGAGTGCACGGTTTAATTTTAAACAAGTGAGGTAAAGCATTGATGAAATATTTCGTCTCTTTTAATTACTTGATTGGCGATTCTTCACATGAGTCCACAGTGAACTGAATAAAGGCAGGCAGCGTTAACTGATTTATAACTTTCATTTCAAATATTATTCAATAATTATTATTATTGTTTCCTTTAATGCCTAGAGGAACATAGGGCTTCAGCCGTGCGTCTCCATTGCGTTCGGTTCCCTGCTAGAGTTTTCACCTGGCTCCAAGTCTGCCCACACGCTTTCATCTCTTCACATGACCTCCTCCAAGTCACCCTTGGACGATCAGCTCGCCGCTTCCCTTTCGGGTTCTACTCGAGCAATGGCTTGTCTAGTGATGTCACTTGATGGTTTCCTCAGAGTATGGCCAATCCATCTCCATTTCTTCCTGCCTATTTGTTTCACAATCGGTTCCTGCTGGGTTGGTTCGCTCATTGCCAGAGATCCCTGTTGCTGATCTTTTCTGGCTGGCCATCTGATCGGTCGGTCGGTCGGTTTTCGATCTTGAGCGAAGACAACTGTTAATGAAGGTCTGTAGTTTGTTTGAGATGCTCTTTATGACGTACTGGCCAAGTCTCTGATCCGTATAGTATAGAACTGACTGACTTCACATTGGAGTTGAAAATCCGGATGTTATTTTTGATGCTGAGTGCTGTTGACCTCCACACAGACTTAAGAGTAATGAAAGCTTGTCTTGCTTTTCCTATTCTTGCTTTGATATCCTCGTCAGTTCCGCCTGTAGTTGAAACGATGCTTCCCAGGTAGTCAGGTAGGTAAAAGAGGTTGTTTCTTTCAGGTTCCTCCCATTTATGCTGATTGTTGTCTGTCGTTGTTGTTGCTGTTGGTGGTGTTGCCCAGGAATCTTCATCACCGCTGTTTTCTCTATGTTCACCTGAAGTCCTATCTTCTCTGGATGCTTCTTCTGCCAACTTGTTGATTTTCGCTTGCATATCTTCCAGTTTGTGGGAAATCAAACATATATCACCGGTGAAGTCCAGATCCTCCAAGTTTTTTGTGTGAGTCCATTTTATGCCTGTTTCCTCATTGCCCGCTGTTTGTCGCATTATCCAGTCTATCACAATCAGGAGAATCATTGGCGATAGTGGGCAGCCAGCTTGTCTTACTCCCGTCCTCACTTCGAAGGATTCCGTAAGTTTCCCGTTGTGGATTACTTGGCATGCAGCATTGTCGTACAGCTGTTGGATGAGATGTATAATTGTCAGTGGCAACCCGTAGTAGCGAAGTAGTTACCAAAGCACCTCTCGATCAACGCTGTCGAAGGCCTTTTCAAAGTCGATGAATTATTATTATTCAATAATGATGTTACTTATAATTCACTGTGTGCAAAAGTAACAGGCCTATCCTTCTTTTCAGTAGAGGTGTTGGGGTTGCTAGCCTCATTCGCAACCTTCCTTCTTTTTCGAACTTATAACTGACTAATAAATCTGACTAATTTGCTAACTAACTAACTGGTTTCAACATAGAACTTTGCATAGAAGTGTGCCAGTTCGAGCTTTTACATTCGATGTAGCATATAAAGAAAGACAGTTCGAGAGAATAAAGGATGTTTCAGAAGGACAATCATAATGATACAAATGTGTGTGTGTGTGAGAGAGAGAGAGAAAGGAAGAATTGTAACATGGGGAAAAACAACAGAGTTTAATGGATAGCGCTATTACCTCCTGACTATTATCTCTACTACCGTGACATGGTGATCGGGCTCGCATATCGTGATGACGCAACAAGCTACACTGGCTGGAGGTAACGTTTTTAGAAGGTTCTACTGTACCAAGAGGGATGTTTGGATAGCGATTAGACCAATAAAGGCAGTTATCGGCATTGTGTAAATGTTTACACTATGTGGGGAGGGGGTCTGTGAGCAAAGTCGTACTGCTAAGGAACAGGGATGTAAGAGCAAGTAAGGTGTTTTTCCATTCAGATGACCATCAAGCGGCGAAAGATGGTAAATTCCGACTTACTTTAGGGTGGTAGGTTCGAAATACGGACGCAATTCTAATAACGAATTCAGTAAGGCCATGTGTATGTGACTGGTCTCAAGCACTTGTCCCTTGGGCTCTGCGGTCATGCAGTACTAATTCGCTTCCTGTTCCAGGTACTCTCTAAGATTGGTAAACTAGGAGGTATAGGTGTGTGATAACCTCTCGAAATGTACTAAGGTCATCAAAGTAATGACGGTTTTTGATATGCTTCAACTTTTATTTACGCCTAGCATATCATTTATTACAGGATTTCATCATAAGCTGATATCGGTTAGAGGACCATTGGAAAGCTAGTGGAGAGTACTAGATAGCCAGTTGTTTCGTCCTAGTTCGATACTCTTCATCACTACACACCCACCGTCAGACTTCGAACCAAGAACCCTTCCGGTTACAAGACTAGCGAAATTGCAGACCGTTAAACCACTGGAAGCCGATCCAGTGGTCAGATGATGAATTCCAACTCCTTCCGATCAGCGAGTATTTGTCCTCACGCCTGACCCGCTGTATTTTTAAAAATTTTATATTTTGCCTTTTCCTATCCCTAAGGATCTTCTTGTTCAAGTTGTCGATGAGTTATGGTGTCGATGGATTATTCTAGAGTTGCCGTCGAAACAAAAAGATGTAACACCATTTTCTAATGTCAATATACCCTATCCATCAATTCATGAACAGGTGGAATCGAATGATTTTTTCAGTTTTTCATTCAACGCTTGTATACCGTCAGTAGCTCACATGGAAAAAGCACTGAATAATCCAAATTCCCTATTTGATTCGTTTTTTTATCGTCTGTCGTCGGATAATGATGATCTACCGGCGACTATTCCGCTATGTGGAAAAGCTTCTGTATTGGCTAGTCTTAAAATATTGGCCAAGCCTGGATTAATATGTCAGTTGTTGAGAATTATTGAAGCTTTAGAAGAGTCTAAGGTTAGTTAACTAACAATTTCTATATATTAAATATTCCTATAGTAAAATGTAGAAGAACACATTTAATTGAACAATATTGTGGTTTCAATTAGATCTCTCATCAGGCTTAACTCTAATATATATAAGTTTACAAATAACAATTCAAATATAAACCAATCATGGTGTTTTGTCTATAGGATAATTATTATATCATTATTATCATTGTTCCCTTGGGTTCCTAGTGAAACATAGGGCTTCAACTGCACGTCTCCACTTGTTCCTGTCTTCTGCTGTACTTTTCACTTGCATCCATGTTAGTCTATACTGTTTCAGTTCCTCTTCAGACGATCTCCTCCATGTCACCCTTGGACGTCCCACTCGCCGCTTCCCTTTCGGGTTCCACTCGAGCTATGGCCTGATGCGCGATGTCCCCCAACGGCCTCCTCAGCGAGTGTCCAATCCATCTCCACTTTCTCCTGCATATTTGTTGAGCGATTGGTTCTTGTTTTGTTTGTTCCCATAGTTTCTTGTTGGTGATTCTTTCCGGTTGCCATCTGATCTTGAGTATAGAGCGAAGACAATTGTTGATAAAGGTCTGCAACAGGCTGTTGGAAACATTCTTTGTGACCCGCCACGTTTCTGATTCGTATTGAAGAACTGACTTGACGTTTGTTTGTTATGAAAATCCGAATTCTATAGGATAATACGATGGTGAATATAAATTGTACAATTAGTCATAATAATAGTAATGATAATAATAGTAATAATAAAAATGGTCTTATCAATAATAAGGATGCAAAAGTGAGGCAATCTGTGATAACACGAATAATGAAAAACAGCATGATTAAACAAACAAATGTTCAAATAGGCGTAGTAGTCGATAAAGGCTAGTAAAAGCAAATGAACCGATTACGTAATGTTAGATTGTAAGGGAAGTAAATGAAACACGTTTTTAATGAAGGTGTGATAAGATTAAGGGATGATGACAAGAGAGGGGTTGATCATATAATTAAGGGATGGTGGTGTAGAAGTCATTAGTTGGTTATATCTTAATAGGCCAACAAGGGAGAGATAATGACTGTACGAACTCCTTTTGAATGCATAGTTTAGGTTTAATAGTTCGAATGTCTATCGCCTCAGCTGTGTGCGTGCAGTAGACGAATACGAAGTCTATTGGAAAGATTCGGTGGGATACGATGAATTACTTTGAAGGCTGTCGTTTTCTCCACTACATGACCACTATCAATTAAGTGTGACAAAATAGAGTTACGGATTGTTTTTGTCTGTCCTTTGCCAAAACACCACGATGGGAGATGTTCACTAACACGTTGGCTAAACTGTCTAGTAGTACGTCCAACATAACTGTCACCGCAGGTGCAGTTGAATTGATAAATGCACATAGATGTGGCGAAACTATCAAGCTTATCCTTCGTTTGCGTCCGAATCATTCGTCGGCTAGAGAATGACAAACATAGGTTTGCTGCATAAAATGTTCTTTGTATACTCCTTGAAAGTCTTTGGAATAAATCCTCACTTTATAAGTCACCATTAAATTGTAACTTAATAAATAGAGGTTTTTTACGTGCAGTCAGAGTCTCCGATTTTTTCTCCGATGTTTTAATATGTTTCTTTATGAATTTTTATTTGTAAACTTATATATATTAGAGTTAAGCCTGATGGGATCTAATTGAAACCATAATATTGTTCGCTTAAATGTGTTGTTCTGAACAATTTCTGTCTTTTTGGATTTTTTTTTCTTTGATTCATTGGTTGATTGGTTGACTGGTTAGTTGGTTGGTGGTTGGCTATGTACTTTAGCTGTCGTCTAACCGTTTGACTGTTATTTATCTAATTGAATTTATTTAGATTTCCCCATCGACTGATTGGACGGAAGTTCTGCTCGGTCTCAGGTTGACATGTCGGCGTCTCTTTGTGCAGATGCTTCGACGATGTCTGGGAATGTAATTAGAATTTAATTGGTGGATGGTCACTAGCAGGGGAATACAGGATGAGCATTTCGTCCTATTTGGAATTGACTCGTCAGCCAGTGGATGTACCTACGCTCCCTAGTGAGAGTGGTGGATGATGTTCCCACCGAGGCTCGAACCCAGTGCTCATAGTTTCAAACGCCAAAGTGTTATCCACTAGACCACTTGAGCCATGAGAGCCGCCTGTTGTGCAACGGGTCATACATCCAGATGACGAGTCCCAAATAGGACGAAATGCGCATCCCAGTGGATTCCACTGCTAGTCATCATCATCCACTAATTAAATTCAAATTAAATGCCCACTAATCGTCAAAGCATCTGCACAAGAAGCCGACATGTCAACCTGAGACCGAACACTTCGGTCCAATCAATCGATGAGAAAATCTAAAAAATTCAATTAAATAATTAATATGACCCGTTGCACAAGAGAAAGTGGCTCTCGTGGCCCAAGTGGTCTAGTGGATAACGCTTTGGAGTTTGAAACTGAGGGTACGGGGTTCGAGCCTCGGTGGGAACATAATCACTCGCTGGGGAATGCAGGTACATCCACTGGCTGACGAATCCCAAATAGGGCGAAATGCACATCCTGGATTCCTCTGCTAGTCACCATCCACGAATTAAATTCTATTTGACTGTTAATCAGAGGTATATAATTAACCTTGGTGGATATGTTCACGACAGTATTGCGAAAAGTTTGGAAGGAAGAAGAAGAAGGGAGATTAAAACTTGAACCTTTGCAAAAGACTGGCACGGAATCATGCTCCTGTCCATGTCAATTCTCATCATCCTGGAAAGGGAGAAAGAGAGAGGGACAGTAAAGGTGCGCCAGATGGAAAACTCAGTTCTTTCGAAATAAGTTAGATTCAGAAAAAAAAGTTCATGTATTCAACAAATTGTAACTCTGCATACCATCATCGAACAGAGGGCCTCAACTTCATCGACTTTGAAAAGGCCATTAATAGCGTCAACCTTAAAGTAATTTGGAGCCTACATGAATACTACGGAGTACCCTAAACCTTTATAAACCTCATTCATTAGCGATATGATGATAATGATGCCAGATGCTAAGTGAATTACGGCTTAAAACTCAACGGAGTCTTTGAAGTGAAGACAAGAATAAGACAAGGCTGCCTACTATCACTGATCATATTCCTGATATAATGGTCAACTGGATCATTAAGCAGCAAACTGTGGCGGGGGGTGAGAAGACAGGTATACGTCATGTTATCGTACATGTCAACCCGAGGCTGAGCACTTCAGTCCAATCAATCAATCAATTGGAAAGTCCAAATTGAAGTGGATAACTACTGATCCTTGCTGCACAAGAAGTGGCTCTCGTGGACAACACTTTGGCGTTTGAAACTATAGGTACTGGGTTCGATCTTCGGTGGGAACACTATCCACTACTATCCACTGAAGAATGGAGATACATCCACTGACTAACGAGTCCCAAATAGGACGAAATGCGCATCCTGGTGAATTCCGTTGCTAGTCAGTCACCATCCATCAGTTTACTTCAACTTCACCGGTTCTTACCATCCCTAGGACCCCGACCAACCAGTTACGAAGTTTACACCTCCCTACGTGGCTGGCTGGCTGGTTGCGTAGCTTAAACTAACTGTTATGGATTTCATTGACTGATGCTGCCAAGTTTTGGTTTGACCACCAACCACTAGGTCTTTTCCAACAACCTCATTGATCTTGTGTCAGTTAAAATTGCCTGTCGTCGAGGAAGGAATGCATGAGATACACATGTTCTATCCATCTCAATCAATGTAACTTCACAATCTCGTCGATTGACTTCCCATGCTTATCTACAACTCGACGCCTGGCCAACTCAAAATTACTCACTCCATTATACTATGCCACCACTTAACACGGGAGATGGAACGCAGACACCTATGATCAAGGATAGCTAACTAGACAGGCTTTTCATGTCTTTCACTGTGAATGGTCATAAAGAACGGTGTAGCGAACTGTTGAGCAGTATACACGTCGTTCGATCGATGGTCGTGAGTTGGCATATGCCAAACTAGGTTTTTGTATCTATTGGTGGGTTTTCATCATCGATCAACCCGTTGGAGTTGGCTGATGTCACTTCCCAAACAAATGAATGTTGACCACTTCACCTATTCGGGAAGTTGTATCAACACCAACGGATTGATTGGTGACGAAATCTCAGCATGGATCCAAAAAGCTCGGGCTGCTTTCGCTAACTTACACCATCTCTGGCGTAGGCGTGACATCCGACTATCAACCAAGGGACGTGTGTACTGCTCAGCAGTTCGCTCCGTCCTTCTCTATGGCTCTGAAACATGGCCAATACGAGTCGAAGACGTGAAAACGTTGACTGTTTTTGATCATGGATGTCTACAATCTCTTTCTCACGTTAGGTGGCATAATAAGGTAAGTAATGTTGACGTTAGGCGTAGAGTGTTGGGCAAAGAGGGAAAATCAATCAACGAGGCTATAAAGTTACATAGATTGAGATGGCCAGGTCACGTGCTGCGCATGCCTAACCATCGCCTCCCCCGACGGGCATTACTAGCTGATATAGGTGCAGGTTGGAAAAGAGTAAGTGGTGGCCAAACAAAAACATGGCATCAGTCCATGAAATCCTTGACAGTTAAACTGAGTCAGGTAGGGAGATGCAGACTTCCGGGTTGGGGCCCTCGGGACTCTAAGAATCACTGGCTGGAGACAATAGGTGACATGGCTCAAAATCGTTGTCAATGGCTTACGCAGATGTATTCAGTCTCTGTGATCTTTTATATTCCTTTCTACCATTACTCATTCTGTTTCACTCTTATGCTTGTCAAAACTGTATTGATTCTCTACACTCATTTTCTTGTCTACCTTTGTGTGCTATTTGGAACGTGGCAACTCGAACTGCTGCACTTCGGTGCCAAGTTCTATGTTGAATCCAGACAGACAGACAGAGAAGGCTCTTGGCCCGATTATATAGACACTGAACTAAACCTATTTTTACCGGTTACCGGCATAATCTTTTTAAATAGCTTCACTTATCCCACAATGCTCATACCATATTTACTTGCATATGTTGAATCCAGCCAGCCAGCCAGCCCAAACAAGTGAAGTATGTGGCCAATACTCTCAGGCACTACTACTTCACTCCTGCTTATCTTTAAGCTAGGAGTGAGTCGATGTATTCCAGTCCTGTAGCGTTATCATATTTAACATTTGAGCAAGGGGGCGAATCGCATGTCTTGTTGTACACAGATCATTTAATTAAAAGTATGTGAATATCTTTCGGCATTTTATTCGAAATTGCCAGCAGTTGGCAAGATGCAATGAGAAATCATATCGCCCTGTTCAGGTTGTCCTTGAGGTTGGTTGAAGCCTTGCCTGATATATTGTTGACACAAAGTTTTCGATTATCGCACTCCTTATAGAACCAACCATGTAGTGAGGTAGTGTTCTTGAACCTTTTTAGATAGAATACGCTTTGAACGACCGATGCACCTGACTTCACAGCAACAGATGAAATAATATATACACATAGAAATGGTCAGATACGATATCTTGTCCTTAAGGCTTCTGCAGACCAATGGCCGACTAGACGGTAAGCTACAGACATTTGATTTGACTGATATCAGTTAGTAGAGTACACCATAGAAAGTCATGACTATTATAGTTCAGCAGATTTGGTGTGACTCTCAATGACGCTAAAATTCTGAATTATCAGAATTAAAGAATTGATGGACTGTTGAATTCCGTGCCAGTGACTGTGAATGGTTAACGAGCTCGTTTTGTAATCTGATAGTTCTGGGTTCAATCTCCATAGCTATGGGACCATAGATGCGCACGGATGAAGAGTCCCAGACTAGGACGAAAAAGATGTCAAGTACTCCAGTACTGAATTTCAATGCTTCTCTAACTGATGTCAATCAGTGATCGAACTTGAGATCAATCAAATCCCTACAAACCAACACTTGATGTTTACTAATGACTGACTGACTGGCTGACTACAGGACAAAGTTGTCTGAAGTTTTAGCAGGTAGTTGTGACCGCCAGAGCCCACCTGATCTTGTTTTGTGGACAAGTATTCCCCAGTGACGTTGGCCGGCGATAGTGCTGAAAATCACGAGTAATCATAGTGCCATTGATGCTGGGTTGGAAGTTGGTTTCACGTGTGCGTGTGTGTCCATCGGAGGTGAAAAGCGAAACGGCAATATTCAGACTGAAGTTATCATTTCTGTGCACACACACACACAGGCACTAATACCAGAAGAAAGACCATCCGAAATGCACTCGAATGGTATAAGGAAGAGCCAAAAGGGACATTCCTACTTGAGGTTAAGGAACTTTGAAAAGTTCACCATAGGCTGAAGCCTGCTCCTATTGGGTGATTTCGCAAGATAAACAGTAGGTGGAAAAATAGAAGAAGTGAGAGTTATATGACAAGCCAACTATCAATTTGTAGAACTCGACAAGCTCAACATTGTCTTAGTAAGGTTCCTCGGAGGGGAAAGAGCCAGGTTTACGCCAATGTAAGGCTGTAAGATACCTGGCGGTGGGAGCGGATATTTCGTAACGACAGAAGACAAGGACTAGGCAACAGATTGTTTATTGAGAAAATCAAGAGATATTTATAGATTTTTATGTACATTATTGTCAGCGGAGAAGCAACGTCTCTTCTGATTGCTTGTTTTCTTACTGAAGGTTATTCTGTACTGCTTGTGACCGACCGTTTCTCAGAAAGTTAAGCCATATATATATATATCTGCGAAACATATTTGCACACGTTAAGTCTGCTGTGTGATTGGTTGCTGGAGAGTTCCTCAAGGTTAAGCTTTGTTATTATCTTTTTTCTCATGACCCCGATTCGGGACGTGGACATTGATGCAAATTATTGTCTACAATTTTCGGCTTGTTGGCAGCCAGCTCTCACCATAGTAGTAGTGATTTGTGCTGGTGATGTCTTATTAGAGAAAGCGAAAAAAGAGAATCCAACATCAATAATAGGAATAAAATTCACGATTGATTTCAGTTGAAAGATCTGAGAACTTCAAGTACTCCATTATAGATAAAATTTTATTTTGATAAAATCACACCGTAGTGTTATACAGTGAGTAATATTTACTGATGATAACCACGTTTCGAGCACAATTTATTACTGCTCATAATCATCATATCAAGGCATTACTCACACAGCCTTCTTGCTTCGTTTACACACATGAGTACAAGTTGATGATTAGACATTTGAATAAAACCAATCAATATAAGATAAAGTACATTCAGAAATAATAATATTAGTGTTATCAATCAGATGGGAAATAAGATGCTTTTATAGTAAAATATATAAATAACTTGTTAGAATGTTATAATGTGAATTGAATTGAATACATTTTAACGTTATTTATTATCCTCTGATTTGATTGGTAATATTATCTTCTACATCTCTGGTATTTACGTCGAGTCATTTCTGTTGCATGTGTTGGGTGTAGATTCACTCGATGAGCCAGAATTCTGTAATCAATCTCTCTCTCTCTCCGCCTACTTATATTACTTTTTAGAATTTTAACCTTCTCTAACCACGTTATTGTGTGGTTGTGTGTTGTTGCCTGTAGTGCAATCACTGAGTTTGTCTTTCTAAATTACTTATCTTCATAGGATCAATCATTCTAACCTTAACTAAATTCTTATGTTCCGACAATCTGACTACCTCTCGCAGCCAGCTCTCACCACGATTTCAGTATGTTTCAAGGAAGGGATATCTAATTTGAAGAAGAAGAAGAAGGCACCACTAACACCAAGAGAGAATGTGTAGCTTGAACTATTTATTGTTTCCCCTAACATTAATTTTTCTTTCTTCCTCTCTTTCTGTGATTACATACAGACTCGTATTTATGAATTGTTCAGTCAAATTTGGACGTACATCTTTAAACCTTGGCTTAAAAAGGTCCCATGTGTATCCGGTTCAGAAATGGGTTGGCCAGAGTTGAAGGTTAGTTTGTTTCTGTTCGACTTTAGAAATTACTCAAATCACTCACTGTGCCCATGTGATCTGCTTTTATCACCCCATTAATCCAGTAGGCAAGCATCAATGAATGCCACCATACACTACTTGCTGATCGACAAAGATGAGTAGTTGTGTTGTGTTGTGTTGTATACCACTGATCCGGCGGTTGTGTGAACTGAGTCGAACTCTGTGTGTGTACCGTTAATAAGTTAGGCTATAAATGGGCGAAACGGCGGGTGGCGTACGGTATTTAGATCACTTCTATTCGGATTGACTGGCTAACTAACTACTCAAATCAATCAATCAGTAGTATATCGTGCGTGTTATACAGTTGTCATTTTTAAAAATATTTTTGAATAACGTTTAATTTAAAAAGTTCAGTAATTTTGTGTATATTTTGTACACAAGTGGAATTTATGTAAAGTGGAAAGAGGTAATCGGTGATAAGTCGTTGACGTTGATTGGCGTCTCCACAACCGTGAAGGAAATGATACCCTTCTTCTGAGCCTCGAAAAAACGGCAAATTCAACGAAGCCTTCGAAATGAAGACAGAAGTAGGATAAGGCTGTCCACCTACTATCACCGATGATATTCCTAACTGTGATAGACTGGATCACACAACAGACTGTGGGGATCGATAAGAAAACTCCTGAAAATCTGGAATTCGCAGACGATTTGTGGTCTAATGTCGCATAAACTCGAAGACTAACAGTTGAAAACCAACCAGTTAGTAGAAGAGCTGGCAGCGAAGAGTGGAAGGATTTCAAGGCAGATATAGTGGAAATACTTAACCGACAACAAGCACCAATCACTATCAACGGGTGAAATTTGAACGGGGTCACCACTAGTCCACTTATCCAGTTATCCTCGTTTCAACTACAAGTAGGTGGTATAGATGAGGATGTGTGAAAGTCAGGATCAAAAAGGCAAGATAGACCTCCATCAATCTGAAATCAATTTGGAAATCTCCTCCACTCAGCATAAAGAACGAAAGGCTTATTTTCAACACCAATGTTAAGTCAGTCAGTTCTTCTATGTGGGTCAGAAACTTGGTGCGTCACGCAAAGCACTTCTGACAGCTGCCTTCACTCTGTACTGAAGAGTAGATGGTCAGGAAGAAAGTAAGAAAGCGACAAAGAACTCTATGAACGAACCAACCGAGAGTTTATCACCCAATAAATACGCAGTAGGAACTGGAAATGAATCAGAGACACACTGAAAGGACTGTTGAGTGAAATCGTGCACCAGGCAGTGGTGGCGGTGGCGTCGTCGTCCGAGGTTGACATGAAGGAGATGAGAGCTTATGGACAATCGTAGAGCCGGTTAAATTGGACTTCAGAAGACAGAGTCAAATGGCAATGTGCCGGTGACGGATGATTTAAATTCCCTATTGTTGGTGTTGTCATTATCCTGTGTATGTTTGGCATGCATGCCGTCACTAGTATTATAATTATGATTATTATTAACACTATCACTACTATTATTATTTATTTTCTTTTTACATTTTTCTACATACTTCCTGATTAATTTATCAGGGTGTAATTATTAAGTTTCAAAGCTTCTCTTATATACCTCACTTATATATAAAATAAATGTAGAACAAATAATATTAATAATTGTGACGATATGCATGTCAAACATGCACAGGACAATGACAACACCAACAATAGGGGATTTAAATCATCAGTAGTACTTCTTCCCATACAAAGAAGGAACTTCGGAAACCCTACGGCGGAGAATTATTAACAATGCAGGCAGGAATAAAAGTGGTTGACATTCAAACCACTCACAAACTCAATTAGAAACAAACTTTGTCGGTTAAAGTGTCCTGCCTGTTAAGCCAATAACAAACAAAACAATTTAGTTTATCTAATACCTTGCCTGCAATAATCGTCAGGTCAAATACATAGGTGGAAGTAGTAGAACAGGTGAAGTCAGTCAGACTAGCAGAGCATAAAAACCTAGCAGCTAAATCTAGATTAGTTGACCCGAATAAGATAAGAAATCTGGAGAACAGTTCAGCTATAGCACTCACTACATGCAGTCACACACACACAACCAAGCAATATAGGATGGTGGGATAAAATGACAGTTTTCAGATCTTATGTAACAGAGTGGAGGGAGCAGGGTTGATAACGGAAGCTCTATTGATCGAATCAACTGCAAACACGTGTAATAGGAATGATTCAACACCTGTTCAGTGGGACACCTGGAAGTTTGTCCTACCGCCACCTACGATGACAACGAATAGAGGAGAATAAAGGAAACTATAAAACTGAAGTTTCGAAGTCAACTGACTAAAATTAATGATATGATTATGAACAGTGATGAATTGTATTCGAAACTTCGTCATCCAGTAAATAATTATACTATTTCACTGTGTGTGTAACATCTAATAAACAAATCAATATGGAATTACATACTACCACACCAAAGTAGTGCCTAACTTGTACACATATATTAACATCATTTCACATTTCCATATTAGTTTGTTTATTAGATGTATCACACTGAGTGAAACAGTATTATTTGCTGGATGACAAGGTTTCGAACACAATCTATTGCTGTTCATAAGCATTTCATCAGTTATAATCACATGACTTCGAAACTTGGGTTTGATAATTTTCTTTGTTCCCTCCTATTTATCGTCTTAGGTAGGGGTAGTAGAATTTTAAAGATGTCCGGGTGAGTGGACAGGTGTTGAATCATTTCTATTACACGTATTTGTAGTTGATTCGATAAACAAAGCGTTCGTTATCAATCTCTTCCCCCACCCTGTGACATTAGATTTTAAAACTGTCATCGTATCTCATCCTATTGTTTGGTTGTGTGTAATTGCATGTAGTGAGTGCTATAGCTGAACTGTTCTCCAGATTTCTTATCTTATTCGGGTCAACTAATCTAGATTTAGCTGCTAGGTTTTTATGCTTTGCTAGTCTGACTGACTTCACCTGTTCTACTACTTCCACCTATGTATTTGACCTGACGATCATTGCAGGCAGGGTACTAGATAAACTAAACTGTTTCGTTTAATTGGCTTCGCAGGATTGGTCTTTCAACCGACAAAGTTTGTTTCTAATTGAGTTTGTGAGTGGTTTGAATGTCAACCACTTTTATTCCTGCCTGCATTGTTAATAATTCTCCGCCGTAGGGTTTCCGAAGTTCCTTCTTTGTATGGGAAGAAGTACTACTGATGATTTAAATCCCCTATTGTTGGTGTTGTCATTATCCTGTGCATGTTTGACATGCATTTCGTCATTAATATTATTATTACTATTATCACTATCACTACCATTATTATTATAGATTTTACTTTTATATTTCCCTTCATACTTTCTGATTAATTTACCAGGGTAATTATCAATTAAGTTTCAAAGCTTCTCTTATATGCCTGACTTCCTGTCTTAAATTTTGCTTGTTAATACTTAGATTTTGTGACCTTATTACTTAAACATTTCACCAAGAGTAAAGGGAGCAGGATTAATACCGTCAGCTTTGTTTATCGAATCAACTGCGAACACGTGTAATAGGAATGAATGATTCAACACCTGTCCACTCACCCGGACATCTGGAAAATTCTACTACCCCTACCTAAGACGATAAATAGGAGAGAACAATGAAAACTATTAAAAAACGGAAGTTTTGAAGTCGTGTGATTATAATCGATGAAATGATTATGAACAGTAATAAATTTTGTTCGAAACTTTGACATCCCAGTAAATAATACTGTTTCACTGACTATCATACATCTAATAAAGAAACTAATTTGGAATTCAAGTATTGGTTTGTAGGGATTTAGTTGATTGGTAACAGGATTTCATCATGAGCTGACATCAGTTAGAGAACCATTGGTAAACCTGCAGGGAGTACTGGACAACTGTTTCGTCAGCCCGGTTTGGGACTCTTCATCAGTACGCACCCACCGGGGTTCGAACCCAGGACCTTCTGGTTAGAAGGCGAGCTCGTATACGATTAAGCCACTGAGACCCGATCCAATGGCCCATGAATTCTAACTTCTGCCAATTCACGATATAGCGCAACCGCTAGCCAATGTCTTCGGCGAGTATTTATCCTCACACCTGACCGGATGCACCCTACTGGTCACTTCCCATTGGAACCCCAGGTAAATACGTACTACTTGAATAGGGCCAGTCGCCAGTGAGCATCTCATTGATATCCAAGTATTGGTTTGTAGGGATTTCGTCCCAAACTAGGACGAAACAGCTGTCCAGTACTCCCTGCAGGTCTACCAATGGTTCTCTAACCAATGTCAGCTCATGATGAAATCCTGTAACTAATTTGGAATTACTTACTACCACAGTAGTGCCCAAGTTTTACACACATATATATTCATATGATTTCATGCAATATTGCATAACATATTATATACTCGCAGTAATTATTGTCTCTCCTCATTTTCTCCTTTCTTTCTTTCTTGTTTTGTTTTTGTGTTTGTAGTGCCAATTGATTAATGAGTCGCTCCATGATGAATTAGATATCGACGTATCAGTGAATAGTACTGCTAGTAGTAGTAATAATCGTAGGAAAACGGCTTCTACTGCTGCGGCTGACCGTGGTGTCTTATGCTACTTCAATCTACTGTTAATAGCACCAAATACGAGTACTACTACTACTACTACTACTACTACTACTACTACTACTACTACTACTACTACTACTACTACTGGTACCATTACTTCTAATATTAGTAATAAAAGGGGTGCAGAAGGAGTCAATAATGACAGTCATAATAGTCGTTCTAGTCATAAGAGTACTGATATAGAAACACGCAGAGGCAGTGGAGGACGAGGAGGCGTAGAACGAAGACGAAGCGAAGGAGAAGACAAAGACGAAGAAGCCGCCGTTAAGAAATTGATCAACAGTTCATGTAAACAATTATCTAATGCATTTAGCGATTTATATAAGTATTTCTTTGGTCTGAAATTTATTCAATCATCCAATAATTATGATAATAATAGTAGAGAGGAAAATGTCTGTATAGGAGGACTCCTCAATGTCAACTCTGATATTCTTAGTGATGATGGTGATGTGGATGGGAATGCAGATGATACAGCTAAACGTGTCATTGACTTACTAATCAACAACAACAACACCATTGATAGTGATATCGAAAATAGTCAATCAATTTGTTGTTTATTCAGTCATGAATTAGTCAGTGAATTAATCAATGGACGTTTCAATGTTGATGTATTCTTCACAGACGGTGATGCTGATGATGATGATAAAAAATCGACTAATTTTGAGTCAATGTTAGCATCAATTACCGACTCTGTGATACAATTGATTCACGTTGGAATAAGTACAGGATTTCTACCAACAGAGGAACAACTTTCACTGAATAGTACTCAACAACAACAAGTGTCAAGTTCTAATAGTGGAGAAGCAAAATTAAGTGTATGGATTAAGAAACTCCCCTTGTTGAAGTATAAACGTAAAGCAAGCTGTATGCTAGAACAACTGCATCAATTATTAGCTAATCGTGAACTCTTCTATTCAATGTGTCGTCCAGCGAATGAAAGCGTAAAATGTGAGAAGAAGAGGGAGCAGGAGGAGAAGGAAGAGGAGGAGGCGAATCCTTCAGATACTGATCATATTAATGCTGGTGACGATGATGATGTTGAATATGATGAAAGTATCTTTGAAGAGGAAGAATTCATTCTCAGTTATGATAGTGATGCTGGTGATAAGGATAATAATAATAATAATAATAATAATAATAATGGTCCACTGAAATCACGATCATTATCGGATTCAAATAACGAGAGTGAATATGAGCATACTGTCTCTAGACTACTGAAATCCAAGTGTAATCTACGTGATATCTCAAGATATTTAGATCCTGGACAATTTGATTTTCCTGATTGTATGGTAAGTGTTTCATTTTGCAATATTAATTGGTTACGCATTTGACGCCTTTGACCGTGTGCCTGTACTGAGGCCATCTTTTTGTTAAACAAGCTTGCTGTTTGTCTGTTTTCGACATAGAACTTTGCAAATATGTGCGGCAGTTCAAGTCGCCAAACTCCATGTAGCACACAAATCAAGAGAAGAAAGTAGAAGAAATGCATAATATAGTCAGTAAACAGAGGTGTGAGACAAAAAAGTAAGTAGTAATAACGAAGAACAAAACAGTTTCATTGGAAATCATGAGTCACAAGAAGTGGATGCATCTGCACCAGCCACTGAGAACAATTTTGAGCCATGTCACCAATTGTTTCCAACCATTGGTTTTTACCGTCCCGAGGACCCCAACCAATCAGGAAGTCTACACCTTCCTACGTGACCTAGACTAACTGTTGTAGATTTCATTGACTGGTGTCATGTTTTGGTTTGACCGCCGCTAGCTCTTTTCCAGTCTGGCCCTATATCAGCTAACATTGCCCGTCGAGGAAGGCGATGACTAGGCATACGTAACACATGTCCTAACCATCTCAGTCGATGTAATTTCACAGCCTCGTCTATTGCTTTCCCCTCCCACCAACCTAGCACTCGACCGATGCCTAGCCAGCTCAATATTGCTCACCTTATTAAACCATTTCACACGGGAGATAGAACGCAGACACCTATGATCGAAGACAGCTAATCTTTTCACGTCTTCCACTCTGAATGGCCAGGTCTCACAGTCATAAAGGAGGGCAGAGCAGACTGTTGAGAGTACACCCGCCCTTTAGTTGATAGGGAGCTGGATATCACGTCTATGACAGAGACGGCGTAAACTGGCATATGCGAAACTAGCCCTCTGTATCCGTACTGAGATTTCGTCAGAGATCAACCCGTTGGCACTGGCTGATGGTACTTCCCAAGTAAGTGAAGCGGTCAACGTGCTCTACCACTTCACTTCCTATTTCTAATCTAGGAGTCGGTGTAATCCAATCCTGTAACATCATCTTGCATTTGGCGGGAGCGAATCGCATGCCAAACACTCGTAGATTGCAGCTCAAGGTGTTTAAAAGATACTGCATTTCTTCAGCGTCCTCGCCTAGAAGGACTATATCGTCTGCATATTCTTAGTCAACGAGATTTTTTCCTGGTAGCAAGTCAATCCCTGAGTCTCGGAAGTGAGTTAGGGTTAAGTCCATTAGTACATCTACGCTGAAATTGAATAGGAATGGGGATAATGGGCATCCTTGACGGACGCCACTAGTCGTCACCACTTCAGATGACAACTCGCCATAAGCCCTCACCTGGCTGCATGAGTTCGAGTAGAGTGCCTTGATCAGTGCAATGTATTTTCTCGGCATTCCCTTTACAGCGAAGCATCGCCATAGTACCTCTCGGTCGACAGAATCGAATGCCACTTTTAGGTCAAGAAATATAATGATTGTTGGACGCCGGTAAGAATGCCTATGTTCTAGAATCTGTCGGAGGGTGAAGATATGATCAATACAACAAGCTTACTGACGACACAAGCACAGTGTTGGACAACTAATAAAGGTGGGTTGTATTCTGTAATTTTTTCTTTTACAATGCGAAGTCCTCCACTGCTTGCACTTCACTTACTGTAGAGTTGATGTTCCTCTTCAAGGAATTGTTGTTCTTTCCTCTTACATGACATATTTGCCGTATTGTCATGAAGTTCATTTTGTTAAGTATGCCGATGATCTGACCGTTGTTTCTCCGCCGGTGAGTTACTTCTCACAGTTAGACTGTTTCAAAATGAATAACTTTTTATCAGAAATTAGTCAGTGGTCCTTGAGGTCAAATGGTCTTAAGTTAAATCCCTCCAAATGTCAGTCGGGGAGGACAATTTCACTTTCTGGCACAAGCATGAATTACGTGGACTGGTTAGTTCGTATGGTTCTACTATCATATATGTCACAGGTGTTGAAACTGAGTCGAATGTCAAATACCTTGGACTGTGTATTTCCTCTGATCATATTTCCTGGTCTTCCCACATCATGTTAGTTTGTAGAAAGGTATTTCGGTTGACGTTCTATGGAAGGAAGTTCAGGCAGTTTGGTATCACCCAATCTGTCGTTAATACTTTTGTAGATAGACACTTGAATTCATGCAAAATTTAGCAAATATTATCTTGTCAGACCTTAAGCATCCTCTCCATTACACAATCCTCTCCTCTCATTTCATTAGGTATGTAGAACTAGAAGCAACTACAGAAGACTATATGCTCAGATAACTAAGTACAAAAACTCTGCGACACATTATTTGGCACATATTTTATAATGATGAGAAAAGTGTAAGACAGGACATTACCATCTTACTGTGGAATTCTAAGTAATCGGCCTTATTTTTTTGTTGTTATACAGTTTTGTTTTTACGGGTTGATTACGGATTGATATCAGTTAGAGAACCATTGAAAACCAGCACTGGAGTACTAGACAGCTGTTTTATCCTAGTTTGGGAATTATCGGCAGTTCGCACCCACTGGGGTTCAATCCCAGGACTTTCCGGTTACAAGACAAGCAAGCTCGTATACTGTTCAGTCACTGCGACCCGATTCAATGGCCACCGCATGAATTCTAACTTCTATCAATTCGTGATTTAGTGCGACCACCAACCAGTGTCATTGGTAGGACATCCATCCTCATACTTGACTGGATAGACCTCACTGGTCAGGACTTCTCACTAGAACTCCAGGAAACTGCCCTGTAGCAAGTCGCTAGCGAGCATCAGATTAATTTTCTATAGTTGGTCCGTGATCAGCTCGTAAAAACATAACTAGTCCTTACAAACCAACAATAGAAAAATGTTATACAGTTGTTAATATTTTCACTTAATTCAATCAATCCAAATGCTCTGTTTTAATTATTACCCCTATAATGAGGAAATTAGATATATTACTATGCTGTACTATGTGCTGTAAATTTGTACGAAAAAAACTATTCGAAATAAAGCTATTATTATTATCATCATGAGTTAGAGCGATCATTGGAAATCAGCAGGCGCTGGATAGGGTTATTTCGTCCTACACTAGGATTCATCAATCAATAGTCCACACTCAAAACACCCTATCGCGGATCGAATTTGGAACATTGAGGTTAAGAGGCCAGCTTGTTGACCAGTCAGCTGTTTGACTGGGGGAGGAGGGGGACTATAATGATCCATCAATTTTAACTTCTGCGTAATCGTGGTTTCCTTTTCAATAAGTTCCTCATCATAGGCTCTACTCTAATATATAGTTGTGTTTTTTTTACACTCAAGGTTGTGTTGATCATGCGGTTGTTTTCGTCCATAAGAGTCATCAGTTTTAGGTGAAGGGGGGAGTTGAAATTAAGAGGTTAAATGTTATCAAAACAATTCACTAGTAGATGTTACCAACAAGATATCTAACTTTCGAATGAGGGAGGGGTGTGTGGTTAGTAACAAGTTATTATATAATGCAGAAATTTTTCAAATATGGATGACTAAGAAGAACACGTTAATTGAATTACCTAGCATTGTAATCCATAATAAAATATCAAAGTCAAAAGATGGTTATGAGAGGAGAGGGAAAATCGAATGTAAAACTCTCTCTCTCTCTCTATATATATATATATATGCATATATATATTATGTAGTTGGCCAAAGTTTGCCCAGAATGCGGCTGTACACATACTGCTTTTAAACACTCACAGATTTGGCTTGTTCAGATGAATTCTGATTGTCTCTGCTGTATGTAAAAGTCATATTCGTGGAGGATGAGGCGAGAGGTGAGGTGAAATATGATAAATAGCTATAAAAGCCTTGTTAGAGTGAACTTGATGTTGAAACCAGTCAGTCAGTCACACATCGATGAAATGAGCTAGTATTAAGCTGAGTATAGCTTTATACGAACTTTTGCGAAATTAAGATAGGATGTATTCAAAAATGTGACGATGACGCCCAATGTAATTAGCTCCTCATGAGCAGTTAAACTGGTAAATACACATAGAAGAGGCGAAACAGACCAGTTTTTTCTTCATTTCTTGAACTGACTATTGATTGGCTAGTGGGGATAAACAGCGCATAATAAGGTGAGTAATATTGAGTTGGTCAGGAGTCGAGTGTTACTGGGTACGGAGGGAAAGTCAGTCGACGCGGTTGTGAAATTACATCGTTTGAGATGGTTAGGATTTGTGTGACTCATGCACGACTAACCACCCATCGCCTTCCTCGACAACCAGCGATGTTAGCTGACACAGGACGAATCAGGTTGTCGGAAAACAGCTGGTGGTTGATGGTCAAACTAAGATATCGCTTCATTAGGCAGTGCAACCCATAGCAGTTACTTTAAGCTAGCCAACCAGTCAGCCAGCCACATAGGGAGGTGTAGACTTCTTAACTGGTTGGTTGGGGTCCTCGGGATGGTAAGTAGCAATGTAGATTGGAGACAGTTATCGGTGATATGGCTCAGAACCCTCGTTCTCAATGATGGCACAGATAATATCCACTCTTTGTGATTTCTCATATCATCCAATGAAACTCTATTGTTCTTGGACCATATTACTACTATTCTTTTCCCCTCACTCACACTTGTGTTTATTATCTCTCTGTCTTTTGAATCTCTCTTTACTCAGTTCTCTTGCTTTGTGTGGTACATGAAGGGAGAGTGGTAAGTTGAAGTGCTGCAGATCTTTGCAAAGTTCTGAGTTGAAACCACTCAGTCAATCAGTCAGTCAATATCCCCTTAACTGTCATGTTCATCCGTTTCGGTATTCTTCTTCCTTCACATTTGTGTTTATCATAGTCCTTTTGAATCACTTTTTCTCTGTGTGTACGTGTTTTTTGTATTTTGTTTATATTCACCGGTTCCTTAGGTTTTTACCTTAGAATGCAAAATGCTGGCGAATTTGCCCGTGGCTTGATTGACACTGTCTTTCACCAGGTAATCTCTTGGCAACAGTCCGAAGCACGGACCTCGAATTCAATTCATCTACGCAATTAAAAGACACGAGAGTATTTCTATATACCATTAAACTGTCCAAGAACTCTGCGAGTTCCTCTGAATTATCGTTTAACTGTGATTCATTACCTTTCACGGTTTCAAAAACGTTATGGGATATCATAAATGGTTTCCCAAACCTTTGACGTAGTATCCTCATTGCCTCAGCATATCCTTCGTTCGGGGACACAAACTTGCAGTACTGTATGGCTCTTGCAACCACACCAATGCAATACCTCAACAAATACATTAACTTCATTTCATCATTTAATACAAAACCACTCAGCTTGACCTCAAACTCTTTGATAAACTGCGGGTAGTCGGCTGGGTTTCCATCAAAGTATCGAGGTTCAAACTTAGGTAATCGTAAGCCCTTACTATCACTAAACGGCGAAGTGTGAACATCAAACTCATCATGCTGAGCATCATACATATCATTACAATTAACAGGCAACTCATTGTTATTTACTTTTTTGTATGCTTCCATGATGCCACGTCCTTTCCTTGACCCAGGCATTATCCAACGTCACCAAAGGATCCAAATTGCGTTGATGATCCGTGTCCGAAGAGAAGCTGGCTGCAGATCAAGTAATAACATACTTTAATGTTTAAGTGGTAGTGGAAAAGAAATACTATAAAACTGATGCATCCAAAATGTAAGCGTCACAGTTTTTTTTAGTTTAAGTTTTCATCATCAATTCAAAGGAGATGCAGTGTCACAAAAGATTGACAAAAGAATGAAAGGTGCAATAGAACGAAGCTTCCCTGCAGCTAAACTCATAACATTATACAGCATCACTTCTTCTATAAACCAATCAAAACTGGATAAATACCTTGCTGATGTCACTTCCAACTGCGTTTATGAATTTACGTGCACCTGCAGCAGCAAGTACATTGGAAGGACGGAAAGAAGGGTTTCTATCCGTTTTTCTGGACATATTCCAAGAAACTTGTGCCTGAAAGGAAGCAAATATTCGCAGAGTGCAATTACCAGACATATTGTTGATACTGGACATCTCGTAGAGATTTCTAAGTCCTTCAAAATATGAAATAGACAAAAGACAGCAAATTTACTAAGATTTGCCGAAGCGATCTCAGTCAACCGATTCAAACCAACCAGACTTATGCATGCAGAAAGAGAGTGTGATTAATCTCTCACTCCCTTGCTAACTGAATTCGATTTTCATTACATTCGTGAGTCATCTAATTCAGTGATCTCAACTCTTTAAACAAATCTCAATCTTATAAACTGTAACCGCTTTTGTTTTTTGAGTTGCTATGATTTGATTTTTTTTGATTTTGATTATAGCTTGAAACCACACAGTTCTTTTGGTACAAGTATGGAATTTTCAGCGTGTGATACCGATAACCCAAATTTCGCAGGCCGACCATAGATGATATCAGGTGTGCGTCGGCAGGGGATCGAACCCCGGACCATGTGCATAGTCGGCGAGAGTCCTAACCGCTGTGCCACCTACAGGCTAACACTTTGTTTGTTAATTTTTTCTGTTTTCCGTCTTACCCCTCTCCCCTCTTTTCTACTTTGAAAGCGAATAAATTGATGATGAAAGTTTGAACTAAAAAAATTGTAATGCCGCCTACATTTCGGATGCGTCAGTGCTATAGTATTTCTTCTCTACTACCACTTAAACAATAAAGTATGTTATTATCATCTTTATATGTAACTATTGTAATTTCAGATAGTCTATGGCAGCTGATGAGAACCTATGAAATAGAATGATGCTATCATATTTTATGCTGCAAATCTGGTCTTTTTTTCTCTATGGAAATTTATCAAGGGTCCAAATGTATGAAATTTTCCTTTTTGTCTTTTGTTTTTTCTTCCTTTCTATCAAAGGTGTCGGAAACTGTCCTCCTAATGATGAAACAAGTCTATGACATTCTCAATAATGGTTTTACCTACCTTGTAACCTTAGTGAATGAAGTGAATCAGTCGACAGCAAATAATGTGCTGGATTTAAATACAAAGAAAACTATCACAATAAGTTTTGTTGAATTTATAATTAAATTAATTCCTCGGATATTTATGCTATTCACCTCACTGATACCTAGTTTACATGCACAGACGGGTTTACGATTTGCTGGTAAGTAGTGGTGATATTATGTATATGCACTAAATTGTTAATGTTACTATTAATATTTATTACTCCCTTGGGTTCTGAGTGGGATATAGGGCTTCAACTCTGTCCCCTCTCTCCGCTTCTCATAATTGCTTGCCCATATAAGCTCTCATTTGTTTTTCTCACACGATCTACTCCATCTCATATGGGTTGACTCTGAGGACTTGACACGCGATGTGTCACCAACCGTCTCCCCAGTGTGTATCTCGTCCAATCTCCATTTTCTCCGGCATATCTGACACTTTGATTTGTGGAATGCTGGCGTTATTATTATTCATCCAGTCGAAGATATCTACCGTTTCACTGGTTTCTGTAAAATCTATTGATGTTATTGTCGGCGTTATTCGTAGGAATTATGTAATGTTATATGCAAGTAAATATGGCTGGCTGGCTGGCTGGATTCAACATAGAACTTGGCACCGAAGTGCAGTAGTTCGAGTTGCCACGTTCCAAATAGCACACAAAGGTAGACAAGAAAATGAGTGAAGAGAATCAATAGAGTTTTGACAAGCATAAGAGTGAAACAGAATGAGTAATGGTAGAAAGGAATATGAAAGATCACAGAGACTGAATACATCTGCGTAAGCCATTGACAACGATTTTGAGCCATGTCACCTATTGTCTCCAGCCAGTGATTCTTAGAGTCCCGAGGGCCCCAACCCGGAAGTCTGCAACTCCCTACCTGACTCAGTTTAACTGTCAAGGATTTCATGGATTGATGCCATGTTTTGTTTGGCCACCGCTTACTCTTTTCCAACCTGCACCTATATCAGCTAGTAATGCCCGTCGGGGGAGGCGATGGTGAGCATGCGCAGCACGTGACCTGGCCATCTCAATCTATGTAACTTTATAGCCTCGTTGATTGATTTTCCCTCTTTGCCCAACACTCTACGCCTAACGTCAACATTACTTACCTTATTATGCCACCTAACGTGAGAAAGAGATTGTAGACATCCATGATCAAAAACAGTCAACGTTTTCACGTCTTCGACTCGTATTGGCCATGTTTCAGAGCCATAGAGAAGGACGGAGCGAACTGCTGAGCAGTACACACGTCCCTTGGTTGATAGTCGGATGTCACGCCTACGCCAGAGATGGTGTAAGTTAGCGAAAACAGCCCGAGCTTTTTGGATCCATGCTGAGATTTCGTCACCAATCAATCCGTTGGTGCTGATACAACTTCCTGTATAGGTGAAGTGGTCAACATGTTCTATCACTTCACTCCCTATCACCAAGCTAGGGGTAGACGTAGTCCCTGGTAAATATGGCTTAAGCATTGTGGGATAAGTGAAGCTATCTATCAAGATTATTTTGAATAAAGCAAGAACGAAAGTGGTTTGTGCAGAATAATATGGTACCATCATTTATTTCGTAGGCTTCTCATCAGCTGCTTACAGCCTAAATACATAATGAGGTTTGCGTACAGAAAAGTTTTAACATACTTGCAAATTTTTTTTACATGTTGCCAGTTGACAAAAAGTTCCACAGTAAGTGAACAGTGCTCAGAAAATTGCGCTTATATAGTTTTTACACATGTAGTTCAAGTTTAAACAGAATAGATGTATGCATAAAATGGTAAAGGAGTTACGTAATAAAGACGAAATATGAGTTAGATACAGAGTGACTAAGAAATTAGGTAACAATGTACTGAGTTCAACTCAAATCATAGAAACAAGAGACAAGCAAAATTACAGAATATAAGAGGGGGTGAGGTTAAAGACAAAGATTACGTAATCAGATGAGAGAATAAAAAACATTCAGTTACCAGGGCAAAGAGAAATTAATAACTGCTTCTTTCTGAACACATAAATCTGGTTTCAAGCGTTTGATAGAGATTGCTTCGGCAAACTTGAGGAGAATGGAACTCCTTTGTCTATTGATAATTTTAAAGGATTTCTCGATTTCTACCTCATGACCCGTGTCGAGAAGATGTCTAGTGATAGCGCTGCTATAAGAGTTTGTTCCCTTGAGACGTAGGCTTCTTGGCACATGTTCAGAAAATCGGAGGTGTGCCCTTCTTTCTGTTCTCCCAATGTAACTGCTCCCGCAGATACACGTAAATTTGTATACACAGTTGGAGTTAACATGAGAAGGGTATCTATCGACTTTTGACTGCACCAAAGAGCATGTTGTTCGATGGACGGGAACCAACTTAGCTGCAGGATAGGCCCTGGCTAGTGATGCAAAAACGACAGTCATGCCTCCTACCTACTCAGCCTATTCAACGAAGCACATACAAATATTGTATTTACCATGGAACATGAAAATGACGGGAAGTTCCATTTCCTTGACATCGCCATGCAACGCCTAGAAGATGGTAATCTCCAGAGGTCAATTTACCGTAAACCTACATGGAATGGACAATACTTACATTTTAATAGCTTTTGTCCAAATAGCTATAAACGAGCACTAGTCAAGACTCTGTACTATAGAGCAAGGAGAATATGCTCTACAGAGAAACTAGAGGAAGAATTTATGTTCCTCGAAAAGGTGCTGAAAAATAACGGTTACCCTCAAAGATTCATAAACAAATATGGAAGATGTGAAGACTCAAATACCAAACAAATCACAGTTGAAAAAAAGCCTGTCTTCATTCAACTAGATTTTAAAGGTGAAAACATTGCAGAAATGGTCAACAGAAGACTGAGAACATCACTAGCCAGAGCCTATCCTGCAGCTAAGTTGGTTCCCGTCCATCGAACAACATGCTCTTTGGTGCAGTCAAAAGTCGATAGATACCCTTCTCATGTTAACTCCAACTGTGTATACAAATTTACGTGTATCTGCGGGAGCAGTTACATTGGGAGAACAGAAAGAAGGGCACACCTCCGATTTTCTGAACATGTGCCAAGAAGCCTACGTCTCAAGGGAACAAACTCTTATAGCAGCGCTATCACTAGACATCTTCTCGACACGGGTCATGAGGTAGAAATCGAGAAATCCTTTAAAATTATCAATAGACAAAGGAGTTCCATTCTCCTCAAGTTTGCCGAAGCAATCTCTATCAAACGCTTGAAACCAGATTTATGTGTTCAGAAAGAAGCAGTTATTAATTTCTCTTTGCCCTGGTAACTGAATGTTTTTTATTCTCTCATCTGATTACGTAATCTTTGTCTTTAACCTCACCCCCTCTTATATTCTGTAATTTTGCTTGTCTCTTGTTTCTATGATTTGAGTTGAACTCAGTACATTGTTACCTAATTTCTTAGTCACTCTGTATCTAACTCATATTTCGTCTTTATTACGTAACTCCTTTACCATTTTATGCATACATCTATTCTGTTTAAACTTGAACTACATGTGTAAAAACTATATAAGCGCAATTTTCTGAGCACTGTTCACTTACTGTGGAACTTTTTGTCAACTGGCAACATGTAAAAAAAATTTGCAAGTATGTTAAAACTTTTCTGTACGCAAACCTCATTATGTATTTAGGCTGTAAGCAGCTGATGAGAAGCCTACGAAATAAATGATGGTACCATATTATTCTGCACAAACCACTTTCGTTCTTGCTTTATTCAAATTCATCAAGGGGAATAAATGCATGAAGTTTATCAAGATTATGCCAGTAACCGGTAGAGATAGGTTTAGTTAAGTGTCTATATAATCGGGCCAAGAGCTTTACTAACTAGTCAGACAGAAGATTTAAGTAATTAAGTCAGATAATTAAAGGAAGTATTACTAGGAAATCACTGACTACCCACCAGAATTTATTCAGAAATATATGAAGCACCATAGAGGAATTAGGACTAGCAATAAAAGTGACGAAGATAACGAGAATAATATGGAGTTCAAAGTCTCTGTAGTACTACCGTATGAAAAAGGAACGTTAGAGGCTTTACGTTTTGGATTTTCAGTGAGTCTGGAATTACAGTGGCATTTTAAATCAACTAACCAACCAACCAGCTAACTCTCTCAGAGATAAACTTTGTCAGTTAAAGGACCCAATAGATCCAATTAAAAAAATAATATAATTTACCAAATATCATGTAATGCTGACTGTGTGGTCAATTGGGTAGATCGAACTAGTAGATCAGGATCAGTTAGATTATTGGAACATAAAAATTTAGTCAGCTAGACACCTACAGAGCTCAGCCATCACACTGCAGTGCATTCACTTGGATGCAATCACAAAATAGGGTGGGTGGGACAGGGTGAGAGTATGAAAACGTAATATAGTTAGGTGGAGCGAGAGAGATGGAGGTTAATCACTGAAACTTTGTTTATCGATTCAACGCCGTACACATGCTATCGGAGTGACGCAACAAATAACAAAAGGAAGTTGGAGAGACAGAGTGAGAGAAAATATGTAAGACAAATTGTGAAAACGTCTGACTAAAATTGATATGATTATGAGCAGCAGTAAATTGTGCTCGAAACGTTATCCAGTTGTTAATACCGCATCATCGCTGTGTGGTATTTAATTTTAATTTGTCTTATATGAGGATTATGCATTATTGAAGTAGACATAAAGTCCAGCCAGCCAAGAGACTCTTTTCAAGGTAATTTATTATCAAGCCGTACAATCGTATATATATATATATATATATATACAGCTTGATAGTAGATTCATTGAAAAGAGTCTCTTGGCTGAATATTGTGTTCTTTATGTTACAAATTATTGAAATAGATATATATTACAAATGTCTTCTAGCTGGTTCATTGTCTTCTCTTTCCGGTGAATGCATCGTAGAGGAAGTGTAGGTATTATTATTCCCTACTAACTGTAGTAGGGGAGTAAGAAGATGGTGATTGTGGGTAAAGGAGAATGATGCTCAGGGGAGGGTCTTCGTGTGCTCTTGGAAGTGTATGTGGGCACTGGTTACCTCCCGGTTGCCCACACCATGGGAGTTGATTTATTATTGCAGAACCTGAAACAGAAAGAGAATTGATGTTGCATAATCGTAGAGCCAAGGTGACAACTGCTTGAGGCCGGTCACACACGGACTGGCTTTAAGGTTTGGTTCCATACTAATAACTTACCGCGGGCTACGGACCACCGTATGGTAAGTCGGGATTACAGTTTTTGGGTTCAACCTTTTCTAACCTCACCCGCCCTCCACGTGTCTGCGTTCTATCTCCGACGTGAAGTGGTATAATAGGGTGAGCAATACTGAGGTTAGGTGTCGAGTGCTAGGTAAGGAAGGGTAATCAATCCACAAGATTGTGAAGTGACATCGACTGAGATAGTTACGACATGTGTTACGTATGCCTAGTCATCGCCTTCCTCGACGGGCAATGTTAGCTGACGTAGGGTCAGGTTAAACCAAAACATGACGGCATCAGTCAATGAAATCCACAACAGTTAGTTTAAGCCAGTCAAGTAGGAAGGTGTAGACTTGGTGATATGGCTGGAAACCGTTCTCAATGATGGCGCAGATGCATCCACTCATTATGACTCATAATATTCAATAAAACTCTATTGTTCTTCCATATTACTAGTATTCTTTTTCCCTCACTCACACTTCCGTTTATTATCTCTCTCTATTTAGAATCTCTCTTTACTCTCTTCACTTGCTTTGTGTGGTGCAAGAAGGGAGAGTGGCAAAATGAAGTGCTGCACATCTGTGCAAAGTGCTCTATTGAAACCAGTCAGTCAGTCAGTCAGTACTCTTCACTCTTCAATCCAAAATATAGGCAGGAAGTATTAGAGAGGTCAAGCTGCAAAAGAGCTAGCGGCGGTCAAACCAAAACATGGCACCAGTCATTGAAATCTACAACAGTTAGTCTAGGCCACGTAGGAAAGTGTAGACTTCCTGACTGGTTGGGGTCCTCGGGACGGTAAAAACCAATGGTTGGAAACAATTGGTGACATGGCTCAAAATTGTTCTCAGTGGCTGGTGCAGATGCATCCACTTCTTGTGACTCATGATTTCCAATGAAACTGTTTTGTTCTTCGTTATTACTACTTACTTTTTTGTCTCACACCTCTGTTTACTGACTATATTATGCATTTCTTCTACTTTCTTCTCTTGATTTGTGTGCTACATGGAGTTTGGCGACTTGAACTGTCGCACATATTTGCAAAGTTCTATGTCGAAAACCGACCGATCGACCAGAATACGATGGGATTGAATGGTATATGCACCTTAGTTGGTCACCGTCCAGCATGGGAAGGCAAATCCTGATGCTTTTCCACTGCTTTGTGGATCAGAATTGGAGTCAAAGGTTCGGCTTGGGTCGTTCCTTATGATAACCATCTTTTTCGGCCTCGTTGATCGGGCAGTAATATCCCATTCCTCGCGCAAACTATGAGATCTCATGTGACCTATTTTCTTGTTCGCATAATGTAACAAGTTTGAGGTTTAACAAAAAAGAAATACAACATTGATGGATGGAACAATAGGGTATCCCAGCGATTGAACAGCAGTTCACCAACTTTTTTACTGACTAATTTGAACAGACAGTCATTTTATAATATATTGTGTGAATAAATGAATGTTCAGGTATTTGTTTGTAGAGATTTTGTTTGATTGGTTGGATGATTTCATCATAAGCTGATATCAGTTAGAGAACCATTGGAAAACCAGCCAAGAGTACTGGACAGCTGTTTCGTCCTAGTTTGCGTCTCTTCATCAGTACATACCCACCATCAAAGTTGGAACCCAGGACCTCCTGGTCACTAGTACGAAACAGCTGACTGACTGCCCAGTACTCTCAGGTTTTCCAATGGTTCTCCAACTGCTGTCAGCTCATGATGAAATCCTCTAACAAATCAAACATAATCCCTACAAACCAATACCTGAAAATTGATGTGATGCTCCCTGGTGACTGGCCCTATTCAGGCGGTTAACCTGGGCTGGTTCTATTGGGAAGCCGTGATCAGTAGGCTACAGAAGGCCGAAGATAAGGACAGTTACTCATAGAAGATATTGCTCAGTGGTCGTGCTATATATCGTGAGTCGGCAGAAGTTAGAATTCATGGGTTGGTCATTGGCTCGAGTCCCAGCGGCTGATGAATGGTCTGCGAGCTCGCTAGCCTAGTAACCGGAAAGCCCTGGGTTCGAACCCTGGCGGTAGATGCGTACTGATGAAGGGTCGCAAAATAGACTGCAGAAACAGCTGGCTGTCCAGTACTCCGAGGTTTTCCAATGGTTTTCTGACTGATGTCAGCTCATGTTGAAATCCTCCAGTGAATAAAGGAATGATTTTTGTTATATCTAAATTATTATCATAGATTGCTATCATTTTTTCGTTATTGCCTGCAGTGCACTGTAAGTACCCATGACCCCAGCAGGCAGCGAACCCCAAGAACTTCAGGTTACAACGCCATCTCCAGATGACTACGCTACTTAGCCAACAGAAGGTAGAATTCTCGGGTCAAGAAGTAGTCAACTGTCTATTCTGATAACCTGAAGGTTCAGGGGTTCGACTGCTGGCGGTGTCATGTCCTAAACCAGGATACAGCTTGTGTCGAGGGTTCTCTGCTTTTGCGTGCTAGTGGTAGTAATGTGTGAAGTCCACCTTGCAGCAACATATACAAGTAACGGATGTATACCTAAGATGTGTTGATGACACTTTTATTGTCTGTGGAAGCAGATCAAAAGCCGAAGACATGTTGGTAAAATTCAACTCACGCTATTCAAATCTCAGTTTCACAGTAGAACACGAGGGAAACGATACTATTAAATTTCTAGACTTTTTTTCTGGCAAAAAATGAATGATGGCACAATCGAAAGATCTATATTTAGAAAGTCTTCATGGACAGGACAGTACATGCATTTCAAGAGCTTTGTTCCAACCCAGTATAAAAAGAACTTAGTCAGAACACTGTTCAATGGAGCACGAAAAATTTGTTCTGACAGTACTGTTGAGCATGAAATAAAATCTCTGAAGGATATCTTATCTAAGAATGGATATCCTGAAAAGTTCATTAATAAATACTCTAAAGAAAATAGCCCCTGCAAAACAATCCGAACAGTTCCGAATAAACCTGTCTATATCAGTTTGCCGTTCAAAGGAGATGATGTACAGGAAGTAGTCAAACGAAGACTCGACAAAGCCATCAAGAGAATTTATTATGCTGCAAAACTTGTTTTCTTTAACACCACTAAGCGAGTGCTTCATCAATCTGGGAAAGACCAGTCGCCAATCCTCGACACTTCAAACTGCGTATATCAATTTGAGTGTGTTTGTGGAAGCATATACATAGCTCGTACAGAAAGGCGATTGTCTACTCGCATGATGGAGCATTTGCCAAAATGGTTGAAAACAGCTGAGTTCAAAGTGCCAAAATCCTCAATAACAAAGCATCTTGTGGATTACGGGCATGGTATCGACGCAGTCAAGTCATTCATCATTGTCAGTAGACAAAGAAAAAAGAAGATGCTTGCAATTGCAGAGGCTTGTGCAATTCGAGTTTACAAACCAGGTCTCTGTGTACAAAAGGAGATGGGCGTGACTCTGAATCTACCATGGTAATACGTTTTACTTATAATTCTACCTCTTATTATTATTTCATTATTACTATTATTACTCTCATTATTATTATTCTTGATTCATTTAAAACTATCCTTTATCAGTAGCATTATCTTAACCCACTTCAACACTATTATTATTATTGTTATATTATATTATTGTTATTATAACTATTACTATTGACATCCCTCTGGTTGCAATTCTTGTTAAATTCTCTAATGTCTAATTGTTTATCTAAGTGATGTAATTGAAGCGTAATGCAATTTATCTTAATTTTGATCTCCCATACTCTCTCTCCCCTTATCTAATTGCACATGACCTGGAAAAACATTCGCACCTGTCTTTCTGCATGACTAATTCAATGTAGTTTGTTTACTTATCAGTTTTATATCTCCCAATGTAATTTCAAAAGTGTATATATATCCGTGTATGTAGAGTATTCAGCTGACGATATAAGTATAAAACTTGGCCACTGTGGTAGAGTGTAACTCCATAATGGAAAAGAATTTATTTTGATAAATCACACAGTGTTGTACAGTTATATTAACTGATGAAATTTCGAGCACAAACTACTGCTCATAATCATATCAAGTTCACAAACCATCGGATTTTCAACAGTCAATGTTTAAAAAATCATATAACTGCAAAATATTTACACATACGCACTCCAATTACTTCAAGAAAAATATCCTCAGCAGCTCAACATCTCAGTAGATTATGTCTAAGAGAAGAACATCGAATTACTGTGAAACTAAATAATATACGAAATGAAATCGAAAAACTCAAACAGAAACTCAAATGTATGGTCAATGACAAAGATTATGTAATTGTTGTTGAAACATCCGAAAAAGCTAGAGGATCAGCATTAAGAAAATCAAAAACCACACAAATCAAAAAATTCAACAAACTAATTGAAGAAAAGAACACAGCAAATAAAATTGATGTCAACGCTTCATCCTCTATCAACAGAACGAAGTGGGTGATCAACCTCTCATCAAGGTAACTAAGCTCTAGTGAGATAAAAGTACTTGAGGAAGGACTAAATTTCAATATAACAGTTAATAAATTAAAACCAGAGGATGTCATTCCTAACATAGAAGTAGCACTAGGTTCAATAGATAAGACAACAGCAGAAGGGGTTCGAGCACAATGTGCATTAACCCTGAAAAATCAAAAGAAGGCAAAATCAACTTGATATGATTATGAGTGGCAATAATTTATGCTCGAAACGTCATCAGTTGATATAACTGTACCACACTGTGTGATTTATCAAAATAAAATCTTATCCATTATGGAGTTATTCACCTGAGGAGGAGTTCTACCGATATTTGATGAATTCATTAAATCATCCTGCTTTATTAACCTTTATTGCTTGTTTTAAAATCACATTGAAAGCACTGATAATTCTGCTCCCTCTCTCTCTCTCTCTGTCTCTATACTTCTTTTACTTTTCAGTTCTGTACTACAATGATTGTATGTATTTAGCTCATGAATGTTTATCCCTGGGTGAACGTGGCCCGTACAAATTTATTGGAGATTTTCTCGATTTAGACTATGAAACAGTAGCCAGTGCTAATGATATTGTTTTTGATGAAGATATTCTGGAGAGATTAGCTGCAATGGGTACTTGTAGTCTGGTACCACATTTTCATCAATCTGGTGCCAAAAGCTTATCGTATCATTTAAGACGTGAACGACAACATCTCCTACGATGCATTGAAAGGATACAAGGATTTCATGTAGGTGCCTGTTTTGTTTATTTCTATTTTAATAGTTTGTTTGTCTGTTTGTTCGTGTTTGTGTGTGTGTGTGTGTTTGTGTGATATTACTTTGCTTGTATTCAGCGTGTTCTTCAGTTGAAAGCGTCTTCATATTCACTCTATTTTAATGCGTGCCCAGCCTTGAGAGAGGGGCTCAACACCTTGGAAAACAGTTTTCAGTTAGGTGTTTCGGTAACATCACTTGCCCTTATGTTGGGTGTCGTAGTGTGTGTTACAGGGTATTTGACGTATATTTGTAAATCTGACTTAATTCAAGCGTTGGTTTGCAGGGATATGACTGGTTACACGTTTCATACATTTATTCCTCTTAATGAATTTGAACAAAGAAAGAACTACAGTTTTAGCAGAATAAAATGGTACCATCACTGTTTATTTCGTTGCCGTCTCGTCAGCTGCTTACAGGGCGAAGTCATTATTAAATGTATCTACAAAAACAATTTTAACATACTTGCACAGATTTCATTTTAAACAAAAATCAATCGATCAACATACGCATACACTAATATATATATATATATATATATATATGCAATATTAAATGCTATTCCGAACAATAATAATCATGCACAATGGAAACTTTTCAGCATTCCTCATTCGGATGAAAGAGAGATGAAAAATATTTAGTTACCAGGGCAAAGAAAGACTGATAACCGCTTCTTTCTGGACGCGTAAATCAGGTTTTACATTTGTGACTTCAGATTTTCCATACTTGTTGATGAACCTTTGAGGGTACCCATTGCTCTTCAATATCTTTGCTCTTTGATGACTAACTGATATCAGTTAGAGAAACACTGGAAACCAGCAGGGAAAACTGGACAGCTGTTGTTTCGTCCTTGTTGTGGAACGCACTTGCCGGGATTCGAAACCAGGAACTTTCTCTTACAGCGAGAGTTTGTAGACCGTTCAGCCCCTAGGGGGTACCTGGTCAAGTGTACTGTGGACTCCAAATTCTACGAATTTAAGAACTTGGTTTTGAAACCCAACAGCTGTGCGTGCTGCTAAAGAGTCGTGGACTAAGACGGAATGGCTGTCCAGTACTCCCTGAGAGTTTTCCAGTGGTTCTCTGACTGACATTAGCACTTGATGATAATACCTGTAACCTAATTCAGTTCTCTGACGTGAGTCATACCTGGGTACACCACCGATGGGCTTCGTCTCAAACAAGGTAGATGGCTATCTGGGGTTTAGGTCCCTACGAGCCTGGCTAGAAGGCACTACTGTTTGATGTGAGTGGTTTCTAACCACTGAGATGATTCAATCAGTAGTATGTAGCTGTAGATTTTTTCTTGTAAAAATCCGGTACGAAAATTGTAATCCAACTTTCGATTTGAATGAATAAAAACACACACACACACACACACAGTCACTACACGATCGCATAGTCAGTATTAAACTAAGGGCGTGTTCAGAATAAAGGGATTAGAATAAACAAATGTTCAACAGAAAGGGGAACATAACTGAAGCACGTACAGCAAGTACTTTTCAACTATAGATCAAATAAAATAGGAATACCTTAAGTGAGATGAATGTCAATAGAAAGCAATAATTACGGTTACACAGTAACAATATAATAAACATATTAAATATTCCCATAGTAAATTGTTCTAAATATAATAAACCAAATATAAACTCTTACTACTTACTAATAAAAATAAGTAGTATAAATAATAAACACAAAAGAAATTGTAACAAAGAATAGATAAGGAAGAAGTTAACACTGTGTTATGCATTTACGGCTGCTCTCTCTGTGACAATTTATTTTGTATGCCATGTTAACGCCTTCGCGAACGAATGAATGAATGTTAGGGTTGATTCCATCAGAATAATGACAATAATAGATTATGGAATTTGTGGGAATTTTGATTGATTTGATTTCAGTTATTGGCTTTTGTCATGAATGCTAATTAGCATCAGTTGGGAGTAGTGGATTTTTGTCTCCTTCTAGCTTGAAACTCTTGCTTGAGCAGTGTTCACTGACAACGCCATCAGAGAGCGAACACACTAGGCACATAAAGGTTACGACGCCAAGCTTGATTGTTCATCAAGCCAATTGGAGCCAGAACTCCTCAGCGATCTGCAAGTTCTAAGTTTCTCAATTCGTAATACAGCACACTACCCTCACTATTCACTACGATAAGCAATCTACTCTATTTCAACATGGTGGACCAGTAGTGCTCTTTAACTTCTCATAAATGTAATCATTGAAGTACCAACGAAGGCTGGAAACAATTATTGACGATATGGCTCAAAATCATTCTCAATGGCTGTCGCAGATGCATCCACTCTTTGTGACTTATGATACCCAATAAAACTTTATTGTTCTTCGATATTACAATTGTTTTTGCCTCATATCACTGTTTACTGTCTCTATTTTGCATTTACTTTCACTTTCTTCTTCTCTGGCTTTATGTGCTACATGGAAGGAGTGTGGTGACTCGAACTACTGCACATCGGTGCAAAGTTCTAACTATGTTGAAACCAATTAGTCAGTCAGTCAGTCAGTCAGACGTAAACATTGACGTAAATTGTTGTCTACAATTTTGACTTGTTCTCAGCCAGCTCTCACCACAAGTTGACCCCATGTATAATGTGAGTGTTGACCTCTGATGTTTGGATGTATGGGACATTCCTACAAAATGTGAGTGATAATAATGGAATCTTAATAATTATAATAATAATAGTCATACTATGTAGGTGATTTGATTGATACCGCATATCGGTATATATCATAATCGTGTATGGAAACACGTATTCGTGTCTATTTTGTGCATTCTCATGTTCTAACCGATTTTTAACCCAGCTAAATTAATATCTTGTATTGTATTCCTTCATTTGCACCCTATAAGAAGTGTATGTTTGATGAAATTGCAGTTATTATTATTATTATTATAGTTTGTTCGGTGTACTTTACTAACTGTAGAGTCATAGCAAAGCATTGTGTAGAGTCGAAAGTTCGAGAGAGAGAGGGGGGGGTGAAGAGAAACAATCGTCGAAAACTATGCATGAGATGACCTTCAACATTTAGTAAACATGTAAACAAATATATATGCCACTCCTGCTACTACCACTACTACTAGCACTATCATGCTGTTTGTTTTTGTTTACGTGAAACTAATTCTTATGCGACTTACTGGCTGACCGACTGACTGCCTTGACATCTAGACGAGTTTGTTTGTTTGTTTGTTTTAGTGCAGCTTACCTTTGTAAATTTATCTGGTGGATTTTATAATAAAATAATAAAAAAAACTTATTTACGGCTCTTTTTGTTGTTGTTGTTGTTGTAAAGTTTGAAGTTTTAGTAACTATGGTATTGTGAGGTGTTTGCCTGTCTCTCTCATGCCATGCCTAGCCATCTCTCTCTTGTATCTAGACCATTTAATACCGACTGGTATATTCGATGATGAGGTTTAGGCGGTATACTTCGATCGGGAGTGGAAGTCGGACAACCTGTGTATGTGTGTGTGTCTGATGAGTATTCTACTGTAGAACCTCCGAGCGATCGGCCAAGCTACACCACAATCCTCAAGTCATTGGACATATTAATGAATAAATTGTTAGGTGTTATTTACAGTTCGATCACGGATTTAGATCAGTGAAGGGAACATTAAAAACCAGGGACTATTGGACTGTTCCGTTCTAGTTTGGAATTATCTGGCAATACGCCCACACCTGACCCTGCACCAAGGATTGAACCCAGAATCTTCAGGTTACTGGCCGATCAAGTTGCATCCATTCAAAGCCAATTCGGCGGAATGCAGTGGCCCAAGAATTCTAGTACCACTACCAACCAATGTCATTGGAGAGTATTTGTCGTCATATCCGACCCGGTGAACCCTACTGTTCATCACTTCTTGCTGGAACTTCAAGTTACTTCGTCGTGTTGTTAGTTACCCTAATGGGGGTCATGTGTGCGTATTGCTGAAGAGTTTCAAACTAGGGTGAAACAGTGATGTGGGATCCACAACCTTTAGGTTACTAAGTGAGCTCGTCGTTCATTCAGCTGTTGGATCAGAATCCATTCAATCGCCAACCAATTTGCACTGCATATCGTGAATAGCAGAAGTTAAAGTTCTTGGGTCATTGAATCTTGTCACTGTGTGACTAAATGATGATAAAGGTCTTAGGTCCGAAACCCGATGGTGTTGTCATGTGCGTGCATACTGCTCTCAGGAGTTCCAAAATACGGCAAATCAGTTAGTTGCATAGTATTCCTCAAGTAGTTTTCAATGATCATACTTTGAACCACAAAATAAACCCCTATAGACTCACACTTTAAATTAGTTGTCATTTGCATAAAGCAAGAACAACAGTGGCAGCTCGTGCAGAATAAAATGGTTCCATCATAGTTTATTTCGTTGAATTCTCATCAGCTACTTACAGCCTGAATATATTATTAAGTTTATGTACAGAAATAATTTTAGCATATATACGCAGAGAGTTCATTTTTAAAATGAATATATGCATACAATGCTAATAATAATAATAATAATAATAATCACTTTATCCCAAAAATAATAATCATACAAAATGGAAACTCTCGGCGTTACGTGAAAGAAAGGATGAAAATATCCAGTTACCAGGATAAGAAATGAGAGACTGATAACCGCTTCTTTCTGAAAGCATAAATCGGATTTCAGGCGTTTGATGGAGATTACTTTGGCAAACTTAAGGAAAATTGAACTCTCTTGCCTATTGATAATTTTGAACAATCTTGCGACGTCCACTTGATGACCCGTGCCTGACGATGACACTTTTGAAAGCATTTGTTCCCTTGAGACTTAGAATTTTTTGGTACATTTTTTCAGAAAATCGGAGGTACGCCCATCATTCTGTTCTCCCAATGTAACTGCTCTCGTAGATACGTGTAAATTTGTATATACAGTTGGATTTGTTAACATGGGACCTTTGATTACATAAAAGAGAACGTTGTTCAATAGACGGAAACCAACTTAACTGCAGGATGATAGGCTTTGGTTAGTGACTTACTCCATCTTTTGTTGACTATTGCTGTAATATTTTCACCTTTAAATGTCATTTGTTAAAGTGACTTTTAATTTTCCATTGATTGATTATGCATATTGAAAAGAAACACTCGATATCTACTTGACATATCAGCTGCCTTAAGATGAACACTGATGGATGTGGCTATTAGAATTAGAATTAGAATCTAATTTGCACTTTCCTACCTATTTTGGACTTGCTCAATGGGTTGCAGATACATTCAATCAAGAAACAGTCTCAAACAGGACAAATTACATGTCCTAAATTCTACTGCTGGTCACTATCACCAACCGAGTAAAACAAACCCGTCAAATTTTCAGAACATATTGTAGGCAAAATACATCTACCATATGCTAGAATCACAAATTGACACTTAGCTTCGGTATCGTGTTACTTTTGTCTTCTGGATTGTTCTTCTTTGTTTTCCTTTTATGCTTTCTATATTGTTTCATAAGCATCGTTCATTAAATTCATCTCTCCACTATTCGATATTCTTGCAGATGATATAGGTATTTTTATCTGTATATATATACTACTTATAAATCTTGTCAAAAGGACATGTCACAATCTTATTTGTTTAATGGTGGTGGCTACTAGCAGTTAAGAATCCAAACCGTACGTATTCGTACCTATTGGGACTCACCTGGTGGAATGCCGTTGCATCCATTTGAGAAGTAATTCCGGAAAAGGTTTTAGTTTCACGTGTGATAATTCAGCTTTTGTTTTATTGTCATTATTATTATTCCCTTGGGTTCCAATTGGTACATAGGGCTTCAACAACACAATTTCACTCTGTTACATTTTCTTCTGTCCTCTTCATCTGGTTGGGTCCATGATTGCTCGTAATCTCTCATCTCTTCCTCCAACTCACATGATCTCCTCCATGTCACCCTCGCACTGGCGACCCACTCGTCACTTCCCATTGGGATTCCACTCGAGCAATGGCCTGCATTGTTCGCGATATCATTCGACAAACTCCTCAACGCATGCCCTATCCATTCATCTCCATTATCTCCTACGTATTTGTTGAGAAATCGGTTCTCGGTTGATTGATCTTTTCACAGCCAGAGTTTCTTCTTGCCAGTTTACGCCGTCTCTGGCGTAGACGTGATATCCAGCTGTCTATCGACCAAAGGGCGTGTATAATGCTCAGCAGTCTTCTCCGTCCTCCATCATGGCTGGCTGTGACACATGATAGCCATTGAGTGTGGGAGATATGAAAAGGCTAGCTAGTTGCCTTTGATCGTAGGTGTCTGCGTTCTATCTCCTGTGTGAAGTGGTTGAGTTTCGGCGTCGAGTGCTAGGTATGTGGGAGGGGGAATCGATCGACGAGGCTGTGAAGCTACATCAGTTGAGAGAGATGAATAAAACATGTGTTACGGATGCCTGGTCATCGACAGCAGGCAGTGTTAGCTTATATACGATCTCAGGCTGGAAAAGAGCAAGTGGTTAGTGGTTAAACCAAAACATCGATTCATTAGTCAGTGACATCCACAACATTTAGTTTAAGCCATCCACGTAGGGAGGTGTAGACTTCCTAACTAATTGGTTGGGTTCCTCGGGACGGTAGAAACCAATGAAGACTGGAGACAATTGGTGAAATGTTTCAAAATCGTTCTCATTAATGGCGCAGATGTATTCACTCTTTGTAATTTATAATATCCAATAAAACTCTATGGTTCTTCGATATTGGTATTCTTTTTGCCTCACATTTCTGTTTACTGTCTCTATTTTGCGTTTTGTCTTACTTTCTTCTCTTGCTTTGTGTACTACATGAAGGGTTTGTGGCGACTTGAGCTGGTGCACATCGGTGCAAAGTTCTAAGGGTGTTGAAACCAGTCTGTTAGTTATCCCGTGTTAGCTAGTTAGTCCCTTATTCCATTATTCCTCTATACAATCTATGTTTGTCTAACTTATAACTCTTATTTATTTATGTCTGCATTGCTGTTTTTGTGATACTTTTCTTATTCCCCTTTAAAGGATGTCAGTTCATCATTCGGTTATAATCGATGTACTACTTCTATGGATGATTGTCGTCGTCATTTGCTAAAAGTTGCTGATGTTCTTGCCTATCTACCATATAAGATCTATTATCGTGCATTAGGTAAGATTCTTTTTATTGATTTATTTTTACGTGCATTCATTCAATTATTAATCGAATTGCACGCATGGTTTTTGTGATGGGTTCGAGTCTCAATGGGGTTACCATTACTCACTCACTGAGGATTGTAGGCACATCTATCCAAGTTGATGAGTCCCTATCAGGACGAAATGTTCTCTGTGGATCCAACTGCTGGCCAGTAACCACTGAATAACGTCGATGGTGTAATCTTCGGATATCGTCTAAGCGTCCGCACTAGGAGCTGACATGTCAGCTGGAGCCAAACATTCCAGCGCTAATAATTATATGTGTGTCCATGCCTGTCTGGAGGTGATGTGAAGGGATCTTACTAGGTTGAATTGTAACATCATAGGACATAGTCGTGTCTGTGTCTTGCAGCAGAATCGTTTACTAGACAAAATGATGTCTCATACAGTGATGATCAAATACATTTGAAATTTCAATTTTAAAATGTTATTCGTGCTGTGCATGTTTTGTCGTCCTTTGTTCCTCTCATATTAGCCAACAAGCATTTCTTCATTTCTTTTATTCTTAACATAATCTATCGATACGCTATTCAAGATTCTTTCAAAAGTCATCACCCACAATGCACTACTTATAATCTCTTGTCAGTAGCGCACTATATATGCGTCTTTAATGACTTCAAGTTAACTAATTGGCTCATTCCCCTTAGGAGTGTGATTTCGTCCCACGTGTGTATCTGTGCGTGAAATTTCTATTACTGACAGCTTGAGGCTAGAGTTTTATTAACATATCTAAGTGTTTAGTTGCTAAGGCAGGAAACGATTGACAATCAGTTGAAAATGATTCGTTTTTGAAAGTACTAGTAAAAGACCTTGTAACGACCCCGAGAGAGTCAGTAGTAGACTTCAGTCTTCCACTTGAAATGCTCTCATGTCTCCAGGTGTTCAGTGCCTCTACTAGCCAGGTAAGTTCTATTTACTGCCTTCATGCGGCAGGGGGGTGTTCCTCATAAATATGAAAGGGCGAAAGCAAAGTTCTGTCACCTACAACCTGACTGGTTAACATGCAATTCTACTTACTGAGAGCAGCTGTAAAACCCTGATTTCAAACCTATGGATGTACATGGACTCCATCCAGAATCTGAAAGGATCGAATCATGTATGAATCTGTTTTGGTTACCATCAACCATAGGAACCCTTCAAGTCAAAGTTTTGGGGAGAGGAGTGACCTCTTAAGTCAATCACCTGCTTGTGTCTAAGCATCCAGGAAATATGCCAGTCCGTGCATAAACTATGAGATTTTGTGTGGTTCATCCCTTGGTACTCATAATGTAACAAGTCTGCGTTTGAATAATAATGCCCGACCGATAGCTGCTACACTGATGTGGTGGTCGGGCTTGCATATCCAAATGTACCAACAAGTTACACTGGCTGAAGCTAATGTTTCTGCAGGTCATACCAAGCCAGAAAAACTGTTAGGATAGCAATTAGACTAAAAGCAGTTACCGCCTTAGTGCTAGATATTTTTTTCACACTATGCTGGGGGTCTGTTGGCGAAGTCGTACTGCTGAGGAACAGAGATGTAACAGTAGTAAGCTTTTTTCCCTCTGATGACCAGCATGCTAGTCAGCTATGCTGTTTCTCCACTCTGGAGAGCGGGATAGGCTAGAAAAGGTCGACCCCGAAAATTGTACGTCCCTACTTGCTCTACGGTGGTCCGTAGCCAGCGTTAAGTTACTAGTACGGAACTAAACCGAAAAACCAGTTCAGACAGGCCACGCCGTACCGCATCACGAAAGGCACTTCAAATAAACTACGGACTGTCATCAACAACTGTCTTCGCTCAATACTACTCAAGATCAGATGGCCAACTAGAAAACATCAGCGACCGGGTTTTCTGGCGATGAGCGAACCAAAGCAGCGGGAAGTGATTGTGCCACAAATATGCAGGAAGTAATGGATGGAGGTGGATTGGTGGCCATACTCTGAGAAAGCGAACCATAATCAAGTGGCATCACACGCGAGGCCACTGCTCGAGTGGAAGCCGCTGAGTGGGAAGCGGTGAGTCAGTTGGTCGTCTGAGGGTGACATGAAAAATATTATGCGAGGGGGAAACGAAAGCATGCGGGCAGATGTGGGGTGAAGTGAAAACGTTGGCGGAGAACCTAACGCAATAGAGACGTGCGGCTGAAGCCCTATGTTTCTGTAGGATATAAAGGAAACAAATAATAATGATAATAACAATAATAATAATAATTAAGCAACATAAACAATGCCTTAAGATAATTCTAAAATAAAACACAACAGATTTGATGATGGGAGATTGTAGGCATAAAATAAATCAGCGATTGCATAACACTTGATAATAAGCGAGGAACTTTGAAAGACAGAATAAGGCACAAACAGCGAAGAAAATTTTCTTTTCGACGATTCATTTTCATGAGCTGTACAATCGTAATTATAATTAACAAAGAAATCTTTAGACCAATCAGATAATGGTAAATTTTGTCCTTGGAAAATTGTATTACATAATGTAAGGTGTAAGAAGGGATGACTAATTGTAAGTTAGAAAGGAGACAGAAGTTGGCATGACGTAATAAGTGTGAGATAATGAATAATCAATAATCTCATGTAAAATGGACAGGAACTAGTGGAAAGGCTATAAAGTGTTTTTGTATAAAATATGTATGAAAAACAATGTTATTAATAAACAGTAATAGAGTGGTAATAAAATGTGGATGATGGGGACAAAATGATAATAAAAGTATTAATAAAATAAAATAATAATAATGGTAATAATAGTGAACTTACATAGTAAAGGAAAGAAGCAAAATTGTGATAAGAAATTTTACTCTGGCCATGGTAAGGCAAGAGAATGTATGTATCGCTTTTGTATGCAGAGGTCCGGTTTTAGATCTCGAATAGCTAATGCTTCAGCTATGTACAGATGGCGAATCCGAAGTCCCTTTGTACGATATTGAGGGACTCTGTGTAACACTGTGAAGCATTCATGTGGGGGTGCTCGATGTCCAGAGATGACAAGGTGTTCAAGGATCGAGCTGTTGCTATTCTTCTTTTCTCCTCTGGCCAACCAAGCGAGGCAGACAGAATAAATGGCACGTTTTGAATTACAAGGAAAAATAGATTTAAATGACTAATTTTCAGTTGTTCTTATTATTATTCTGATTGCCCTTTATAAATCTGAAGTTTTTTTTATGATGAATGTGTATGTGAGTGGTACGCTTTAGTATATTTCCGAGGGTAGAATCCTCGCTAACTAAATCGGAAAGACTGAGTTTATTTTCCGGCTGATGTACTGTTTAACCTCACCTAGTTAGGTTGTAGGTAGTAAGCCCGGAAATGATGCGAGTTGGGTGTGTGTTGGGTGGGTGAGGTAGGAGAATCTCTCACTCCTGTTAAAAAAAGAACAGCTTGAAACCTTGTTGTGTTCCACTTGGAATGCAAGGCGGTATATTATCAACACTTCAACTGATACGGTACTATCTTACATCAATGTTTTTCATTTCATATTGTAAGCAGACAGACAAATGGTGGTGTGTACCGGATTTTTCACCTATACAGATTTTATTTTCATATCACGTACAGATTTATGAAAAAAAAGCAGCAACAACAATAACAACAACTCCTGATGCCCTGACTACTTTCCATATAGCCATTGCCTTTCTTACTACAGATGTTTTAAAGATTAATATAGAAGTACATTAGCGGGCAAATCTGTTGTTTACGGTTTACAGCAAAAGTAAAGATGCATACGAATGATAATGGCAATAGTAATAATAATTTTATTTTGAAGTGACTAGGCAGGGAGTTTAAATGTACAACATGTTACTGCCTATTCACGCCTACCTACACTCCGTTATAGTTTTTCGATTATTTTCTGCGTGACGTTCGGATGGGCGGTAGAATTTAGGGGGCGCGTTTCGTCCTATTTGTGATTTGTTAGCTGATTGTACCTCTTCATTCCCCCATTGTGTGTGTGTGTGTGTGTGTGATATGGATCCTGCATCCGGTGTTTCAAACTCAAAAACGTCATATTACTCTGACAGTGGAATGATTGGCGTTGTGTTCGACTCTCAGTAGAGTAACACTATTATTCACTGGGGATATATAGGTGCACCTGTCTGATAAGTCCCAAGTGGGACGAAACGCACACCAATCGAGCAACATCACATTCATTTCATGGTATTATTGAAGCCAACTAGCCAACCGATACGTAGTTTGAGAAATAAGGGTGAACTGCTCTGTTTCGCCTTTTCCATGTGTATTTATTAGTTTAAGTGCCCGTGTGGAGCTAGTTACATTGGGCGTATGATCAGGCAAGTTCATCGTCGAATTTCTGAGTACCTCCCATCTTGGTTTTGCAAAGGTCAGAATAAAGCTTAGACACAGCTCAATACTAACTCATCTCTTCGATACCAGGCATCAATTTCACTCTAACAAAGCTTTAATGGTTATTAATCGTATTTCACCCGACCTCTCGCCTAATCTATGAGTACGGCTTTTAAATACAGCAGCAGAGGCAATCAGAATTCATCTGAACAAGCCAAATCTTTTTCAAAAGAAATATATCTACAGCCCCTTTCTTCGCTATCGTCAACTACTTAATATGTTTTTACGAGTTGATCACGGATTGATATCAGTTAGATAACCATTGAAAACCAGCATTGGAGTACTGGACAGCTGTTTCATCCTAGTCTGGGAATCATCGGCAGTACTCACACACCGCCAGGGTTCGAACCCAGGACGTTTCGGTTAAAAGGCAAGCTCGAACACCATTCAGCCACTGGAGCCCGATTCGATGGCCCATGAATTCTAACTTCTACCTATTCGTGATTTAGCGCGACCCCAACCATTGTCGTAGGTGGGACATCTTGTTAGAAGTAAGAATTCATGAGCCACTGAGTCGGGTCCCAGTAGCTGAATGGTATACGAGCTGGCTAGCCTTGTAACCGAAATGTCCTGGGTTCGAACCCCAGTTGGTACGTACTGCCGATGATTCCCAAACTAGGATGAAACAGCTGGCTGTCCAGTACTCCAGTGCTGGTTTTCAATGGTTCTCTAACTGATATCAATCCGTGTTCAACTCGTAAAAACAAAACTAACCCTTACAAACCAAACTATAGAAAAATATGCAATATGTATTAAGTATTTTAAAAACGGTTTTTTTCCCTCCCCTTGTAACTATCTTTTGACTTGGATATCTTGTTACTAACATCTATTAGCTAATTGGTGTTTTGACGATTTTTAACCCCTTTAATTTCACCTACCCACCCCCGGTTATACCTAAATCTGATTGACTAAAATAACCACTTGGTTGGTAAACGAATATTGATGTAAAAGAAACTGTATATTAGTGAGTGTAATAGAGCCAGTCAGCCGATGATGAGGAACTGCTAATTGAAAGGGAATACATGTGTCTTCGCTCAATCTGTTGTTATCTGAAGCGTCAATCACAAGAACCAACCTGGCAACAGAGACGGTGTATTCTAGTGCAATAAAAATCAATAGAGGAGAGATTATAGATAGCAGCTACACAGACAAGGTATCTTACAGTCACTGATGCCAGATGATTATGAGTTGACAAATTATATTGCTAAAATAAATTAAGCCCACCAGTTATGCTGTCATAGTTATTTCACTCGTTGGTTTACGTGTTCAACTTTCAGTCATTGTGTCCCCCCACACGATTACGTAACTACCTCCAGTTTTATCTGAATCAAATGTTGATGAATACCCTTCTCATTACGATTTATGTCTCTATCTGTCAAGGGACTTAACCCTAAGTTCCTATTATTTGCGAAGACGCTCCGAATTGACAATCACTATGAACGATTATTGACTTTAACTCCAAAACACAAGGACCAATAAGAAATTGTATTCTTTGGCAGTTAAATTCGATATCGGTACAAAGTCTATAAACAAATGTTTTACAAGGAATGAATTGTACTTTTATTCGTATTCCTTCGTCTTCTTCCAACTTGTACACGATTGAATCATTCGCGCCTTCGAGTTGCCCGCCAATGGCGTCCAAGGTCAATGAACCAACGTTCAATGTTCACATTCATTTACACCATCTCTATCGTATATGGTTATGGATATTTTAAAGTGTCAGTTTGGGGGAGATATGACTGGTTCTGAGTTAGATCACAAGTTGGCATGAATTAGAGAGCCATTGGAAAAAAACATCACTAGGGTATACTGGACAGCCCTTCGGTCCGAGCTTAGAGCTTTCCAGTCAGTACACATCCATGACCCCGCCACCGAGGATCGAACTCAAGTGGAATCTAGCTGCGTATAAATGCTAACTTTTGCTGACTCCTTTATTATACAATTTTCTTTATTTTATTCGTTAACTTTCCTAGTGGAACAAAGGGCTTCAAACTAGAGCTTTGAAGTTTTTGTAGCAGTGGTGTTTATTTTCATGGACTGGTGTTGCCCAACCTTCTATCTTTACCGGCCTTACTACCAGCTTAGCGAGCTTTAGGAGTGCATCGGCCGGGAAATGAACCCCGGACCACTTGAGATATGGTTGGTGAACTTTCTACCACAGAACCACCGACGCACCGGGAGTCGAACCCGGACCGCCAGGGTGACAGCAAGGAATCCTAACCGCTAGACAGGTCATGATGAAATTAAATGAATTCATCTTATTCTTAAAACACTGTTCTCTATATATATTATGGAAGTTTTGTTAAGGCCAAAAATTGCATGAAGTAACAGTTAGAATTGTCGATGCTTAATTCAGTTTTGTTCTCACATTTGAATCACTTTATGATATGATTAGTTCAGCTTGTTGTTAATGAGTAGAATTACTTACTTTTGTGGGTGCATGGTTCAAATCACACCCCTCCTCGCTTGGGCAACTACATTTGGTAGCCTAGAGGAACATGAGCTATCTGTTTCCCCGGAGGAGGAACTAAGTACACGGGTTGACCTGTTACCGAGAAATAATCTCGTCCACTGAGAATATGCGGATGATATAATCCGTCTAGGCGGAGATGCTGAAAGAGTGTAGAGTTTTGTGAACACCACCTTCATTAGTGATAGTCTTTGAATGTTTTGCATGCGACTCTCTCCCTTTGTCAAATATAATATGGCAATGATACACGACTGGACTACACTGACTTACTCCTACCCTAAAGATGGGCAGGAGTGAAGTGATTGGTGAAGCGTGTTGACCTATTCACTCACTTATTTGGAAAGTGGCATCAGCCAGCCCCAACGGATTGATCGTTGATGAAGGCTTGTTCGGCGTTTGCCAACTTAAGCTGTCTATATTACGTAGGCGTGATATCCGACTGGTTATCTATCGAACTACGTGTATACTGCTCAACAGTTCGCTACACCCTCCTTTATGACTGTGAGTGAGACACGATGGCCGTTCAAACTGGGAGACATGAGAAGCCTGGCTATCTATCTGTCTTTCATCATAGGTATCTGCGTTCCTTGTCAAGTGTTGGTTTAGTATAATAGGGTGAATAATATTGAGTTGGTCAGGCGTCGAGTGCTACTGGGTACGGAGGGGAAGTCAGTCGGTGAGGTTGTGAAGTTACATTGATTGAGATGGTTAGGATATGTGTGATTCATGCATGACTAACCATCCATCGCCTTCCTCGACAACCATCAACATTAGCTGCCATGGTATGAGTCAGGTTGTTGCAAAAGAACTAGTGGTTGATGGTCAAACTAAGATATCGCTTCATTAGGCAGTGCAACCCATAGCAGTTAGTTTAAGCTAGCCAACCAGTCAGCCAGCCACGTAGGGAGGAGTAGACTTCCTAACTGGTTGGTTGGGGTCCTAGGGATGGTGAGAACCAATGAAGACTGGAGTTAGTTATCGGTGATATGACTCAAAATCCTCGTTCTCAATGATGGCTCAGATGTATTCACTCATTGTGACTTATCCAATAAAACTCTATTGTTCTTCCACTATGTTACTACTATTCTTTTTCCCTCAATCACAATTCTGTTTATTATCTCTCTTTACACTTGGAGGATCTGGACTTCGCCGATGATATATGTCTGATTTCCCACAAACTGGAAGATATACTAGCGAAAAGCAACAAGTTGGCAGAAGAAGCATCAAAGATAGGAGTTCAGGTGAACATAGAGAAAATAGAGGTGATGAAGATTTCTGGACAAGAACAACAACAACAGACAACGATCAGCTTAAATGGTAGGAACCTGAAAGAAACAACCTTTTTTACCTACCTGGGAAGCATCGTTTCAACTACAGGCCGGTGAGACTGACGAGGATATCAAAGCGAGAATCGGAAAAGTAAGACAAGCTTTCACTACTCTCAAGTCTGTGTGGAGTTCAACAGCACTCAGCATCAAAATAAGATCCGGATTTTCAACTCCAATGTGAAGTCAGTCAGTTCTATACTATACGGATCAGAGACTTGGCCAGTGCGTCATAAAGAGCATCTCAAACAAACTACAGACCTTCATTAACAGTTGTCTTCGCTCAATACTACTCAACATCAGATGGCCGGCCAGAAAAGATCAGCAACAGGGATCTTTGGTAATGAGCGAACCAACCAGGGACCGATTGTGAAACAAATAGGCAGGAAGAAATCGAGATGGATTGGCCATACTCTGAGGAAACCATCAAGTGATATCACTAGACAAACCATTGCTCGAGTCGAAGCCGAAAGGGAAGTGGCGAATTGGTCGTCAGTGTGAGGGTGACTTGGAGGAGGTCATGTGAAGAGGAGATGAAAGCGTGTGGGCAGACTTGGAGCCAGGTGAAGACTCTAGCAGAGAACCGAACGCAATGGAGACGCACGGCTGAAGCCCTATGTTCCTGTAGGATTTAAAGTTAACAATAATAATAATCTGTCTTTACTCTCTTCTCTTGTTTCTGTGTGGTACATTGGGAGTGAGAGAGAGAGAGAGATTGGCAAGTTTAAGTGCTGTACATCTGTGCAAAGTTTCTTTTTATGTTAAGACCCCAGTCAGTCACTAACAGCCAGTAAAACTTCCTGTATTATTTTACTGAATTGATTAGGTTTGTGTGACCATCTCATAACTCCGTATATGTAGCTCACATAATGGTAATGGTGATAATGTTGACGACAATAATTCGTTTAAATTTCCTTTTTTTTTCAAATGCCTATTTAGGTTACCTGTGTAATTGTGTTTGTGCAGAATTAGTGAAGTGTATAGTGAATTCAACTGATATTACACAGTCGGATTGTGATAAAATACTGATCTTATTAGATCAGATTAGTGGCACTGTAAGTTATTGTTACTATTATTACCATTATTTATTTTTGAAAAAAGAATCAAAGCACTGGACGACTTCTTGTCAAAGTTGTTCAGCCTCTGTTAATTGCATTCTTGTTCATTTAGGTTTTTCGTATTTTTGAAAGTATCAAATCTTTTGACTGTAATAGTGAACGTATTTTGGCATGTGATTTGCTTTTGTTGGATGAAAGATGATACTGAAAGACTGGACTACTCCGACTGACTAATCAGCAGTCCGCTCCGTCCTTCTTTATGGCTGTGACACATGCTAGCCATTGAGAGTGGAAGACATGAAAAGATTCGCTATCTTTGATCATAGGTGCCTGCGTTCTATCTCCCGTGTGAAGTGGTATAATAAGGTGAGCAATATTGAGCTGGCTAGGCATCGGTCGAGTGCTAGGTTGGTGGGAGGAGAAATCAATTGACGAGGCTGTGAAATTACATCGACTGAGATGGTTAGGACATGTGTTACGTATGCCTAGTCATCGCCTTCCTCGACGGGCAATGTTAGCTGACATAGGGTTGGTCAGGCTGGAAAAGAGCTAGCGGTGGTGAAACCAAAACAGGGCACCAGTCAATGAAATCCACAACAGTTAGTTTAAGCCGGCCACGTAGGAAGGTGTGGACTTCCTGACTGGTTGGGGTCCTCGGGTCGGTAAACACCAATGGTTGGAAACAATTGGTGATATGGCTCAAACTTATCGTTCTCAATGGCTGGTGACTTATAATATCCAATAAAATTATATTGTTCTTCGTTATTACTATTCCTTTGTCTCACACCTCTGTTTACTGTCTCTAATATGCATTTCTCCTACTTTCTTCTCTTGCTCTGTGTGCTACATGGAGGGAGTGTGGCGAATTGAATTGCCGCACATATGTGCAGAGTTCTATATGGAAAACAGACAGACAGACATTACTATCATCATCCTCATCACTATTTCCTTCAGTTCCCAGTGGGATATAGATACGGCTTCAGCAGCAGCACATCTTCATTTCATCCCGTGTTCTCATTAGTTCTTTTTAGCTGGCTCCACGATTGCCTATTAGCTCTCTGGTTCTTCACTTATTTCGGGAGTTGCATCAGCTCCAATGAGTTGATTGATTGCTGAAGAAATCTCAGCACGGAAACAAAAGGCTTGTTTAGCATATGTCGACTTACACCGTCTTTCACGTAGACCCTAACCAGTCAGGAAGTCTACACCTTCCTACTTGACTGGCTTAAACTGATGACATGTTTTGGTTTGATCACCACTGGCTCTTTTCTAATCTGACCCTATTTCAGCTAACATTGTTCATCGTCGAGGAAGGCAATCGATGGCTAGGGATGCATGCGTAACACATGTCATAACCATCTCAGCCGATGTAACTTCACAACCTCCTCTATTGATTTACCTTCCTTACTTAGCTCTCAGCTGAGGCCTAACCAGTTCAATATTGCTCACCGTATTATACCATTTCACACGAATTGTAGATAGAACGCAGACACCGATGATATGATTATGAGGAATAATTTGTGCTCGGAACGTCATTCGTTAATATTACTGTACAACACTGTGTGATTTATCAAAATAAAATCTTATCCATAATGGAGTTATACTCGATCACCACAGTGCTCAAGTTTTATACTTATACCTATGATCAAAGACATCTAGCCAGGCTCTTCATGTCTTCCACTCGCAATGGTCAGGTCTGACAGCCATAAGGGAGAACGGAGTGGACCGCTGAGCAGTACACACGCCATTTGGTTGACAACCAACCGGATATCACGTCTACGCCAGAGACGGCGTAAACTGGCATATGCGAAAGCAGTCTTCTGTATGCGTGCTGAGATTTTTTGGGCATCCCTGACGGACACCACTAGTCGTCACCACTTCACATGACAACTCGCTCTAAGCTCTTACCTGGCTGCATGAGTTCGAGTAGAGTGCAGCCATTCTGTTTTCTGCAGTTTTCCCCCATCCACATCACCCTCATTTCCCATGGGGTTTTCACTCCATCGCTTGTCGTTTGATGCCAACCAGCAGTCTCTTCAGCGTATTTTTCTATCCATCGTTATTTCCTTGTTTTTTGATAGGTTCTTGGTCGGTTGGTTGGTTAGTTTGTTGTACTGCAGAGTTCCTTGTTGCTCATCGTTTCTGACCGGCCACCGTATTTTCATTTTAGAGAGAAGTGAGCACGTGCTGAAAAAACATCTGCGGTAGCCTGTTGGAAATGATCTTTCTTGGCGATGCGTGCCCCCTTCCCCAAGTCTTCTAAAGCATATCGAAGCAGTGGCTGACTTTGAGATTATAATGTTGAACATTGGGATCTTGTTCCCTATGCTTAGTGCAACAGATAACTCCTTCGAATTTCCCCTATTGATGATGATTGTTGCTTATTGGTTAGGTGTCTGCATCAACTCTGTGTTCACTTGAAGTTCTGTCTTCGCTGTTGGCTTCTTCTGCCAACTTGTTGGTTTCCACTTGTACATCTTTGAGTTTATGTGACATCAAGCATAAATGATCAACTAAATTTCAAATCTTATCAAGTCTTTCTGTCGGTTCAGCGTATTCCTGTCTTCTCCCAATTCCACACAGTCCAACACAATCAAGAATATACCATTAGTTATGGTATACAGCCTTGTTTTAGTCTGTCGTCTTCATTTCAAAGACTTGGCTGAGCTTTTCGACGGGAATCACTTCACATATGGTGTCATTATCATAAAGAGCTGTGGCAAAAGGTTGACCAAGGTTTGGGGGATGACTGAACTCTGTAGTGTGTTGAAACACTTCTCAAATTCATTAAAATAAACATTGAGTCGTGAAAAAAAATTTAGTAAAGGAAATTTTCTTTATTGACGAGGTCGTTTTCAAAGGCTGTACAGTAGTCGTATTTATATTTACCTGAAACGTATAGAGGTCTTTTTTATTGAATAATAGGAGGGTGTGTGTGTGACACAGAGATGAGACATTAGATGGTTGGAGGTAATAGGTAGGAAGCTTTGGACCTAGGTTTCGTGCTAGTTGGCAAGGAGTATCTGGAACCTTGAAGGAACTCACGTCCCTTCGAACCCGCGTCACTTAGTATGCTGTATTCAGAGACGTTGCCACTGAGCTATTCGGGCTCGCGATTGACCTCCTTAAGTCTGCACCAAACAAAGGACTAGACACATCACACAAGTTACTAGTGTCCAATCAGAAGTATCCAATAGAGTCCTACAGGAAGGAGGTCAATCGCGAACCCGAATAGCTCAGTGGTAACGTCTCTGACTGCAAGACTGGCTGGTGACGCGGGTTCGAATATCAGAAGGGAAATGAGTAGTTCCTTCAAGGTTGCAGATATGCCGTGCTGACTGACCGGTGAGTGCCAACTAGCACGAAACCTAGGTCAGACAAGGTTTCCTTCCGATTGCCTCCAACCATCTGATATCATCAAATCAATGTGCACCGTGATAACAAGCTACCTAGAATGGTGACCACATTGTAAACCTGACTGATAGAATTCAGTTTGCATCAAAGAAAGGACTAGACACATCACACTAGTCACTAGCCTAATGTCCAATCAAAGTATAGATGATACAATTACGCAGTAATCACCGACAGAATAAAAGTTGGTTAGGTGAGAATCATTATGAGATGATAAGAAGCAAAATGGTTGGGTGTCCCCACTTGGTAAATGTGAGGCAGGTGAGAAATATAAATAGTGTCGGTAGAATAAACAAAAGGAACATCTAAGAATGATATCATTGAGTGGTAATCACTAGAAATGGGTACAACGAATTAGAAGCGAGTTCAAAAATGTAGTAGTCTTGGAGACTGAGTTGTTCGAGGCTATATTGACGAATCGCTAGCGTCTTTGCTCTACACAGGTGTTGAAACTTAATGGTCCTCACACAATTCAGTCTTACTTTGTAGATACCTATAAATCATGATGTGATTTCTTCTTGGCGTTAGAAACTCGCTTCTGAATAACTGTCATACACACACACCCTCCTATTACCTAAAAAAGATGAATAAAATCAGCGGTAAATAAATAATTTTGCCTCCGAAATTCTTTCGCATGGTCGACATCAGTCAGAAAACCATGGGAAACCAGTTGTGGATACTCAGCAGCTATCTCATCTTTGTTTGTGACATTTCACCAGTACACATCTATGACTCTCCTCCAACACCTCAAGGTTACGAGGTGAGTTCGTTGATGATTCAATCACTGGGACGGAATCTAGTGACTTATTATTATTAATTCTAACCTCTACCAAATCACGACATATAAAGCTTGACTACCATCCAGTGTTATCTGCGAGTATTTGTCCGTGATATGCGTCAATCGATCAAAGGAAATGTTTTTAACTCAGCGGTTCACTCTGTCCTCCTATATGCCTGGCTGTGAGTGAGACATGACCATTGAAAGTGGAAGACATGAAGACACTGTCTAGTTGTCTTTGATCATGGGTACCTGCCTTCTATCTCGCATATTAGGTGGCATAATATGATGAGTAATATTGAGTCGGTTAAGCGTCGAGTGTTAGTTGAGGAGAGAAAATCAATCAACGAGGTTATAGAGTTACGTCGATTGAGGGGACTTGGGCATGTGTTACGCATGCCTAGCAATCCGTCTGCTTCCTTGACGACAGACAATGTTAGGTGACATATAGGGTTGATCAGGTGGCAGTCAGACCGAAGCTTGGAATCAATTCATGAAATCTTTGACAGCTGGGGGGTAGGTGGGTGTAAGATTGTCGTAATTTTAAGATCCATTGACTAGAGAAAATTGGTGATATGGCTCAAAAGGGTTCGCAAATGGCTGGCAGAGATGTACTCATTGTCTGTGACATTCCATGACCATGTTCTTTCGTGTTACAATTCTTTCTTCCTCACACTTCACCTTATTGTCGTCTTCGTTTGTGTGGTTCATAGAGTCTGGCAAGTTGAACTGGTGTACTTCTGTGCAACAGTTCTATCTATGCTGAAACCAGTCAGTCAGTCAGTATTTGTCCTCGCACAGTCGACCTGGTGAACTGAACTTCACTGATCACGACTTGTCAGTAGAACTTCAGGCAGCTGCATCCTATAGAGTCAATCAGTCAGTCAGTGACCAGTGAGCTCTAGATTAATTTTCAAGCATTGGTTTGTGGGGGACATAATTGATTTCATCAGTCAATTAGTTTATTTCCTTAGAAAAGGGATAACTGAATATGAATAGTAGGCAATGCTCTAAGTGAAGTTATTTACATTCATTGTGTGTGTGTCTGTGTGTTTGGTAATAGGGAAATGTTTATTAGACAATTGTTTTGCTTGCTTCACATCTGTTGTTTACAACACACCTACTTTTCACTCAATCTTTTCGTCATCTTACTAGTTGTTGGAAATTCCATATTTCA